CAGGACGAGTCGGGGGCAGAGGACAGTTCAGACTCTGAGGCAGGTCATTGTACCGGTTTTATAAATAGGAGTCAAAATCCAAAGAAGTGCTTGAGACAGTTCACACCAAGGCCTTAGGCATTTCCCTCCCTTTGAACAGATGGAGTCCATGTCGAATTCAGTATTGCTTTTGAAATCCCCCTGAGTTTCAATAGTAACTTTCTGTATGAAAAAGGGTAAGGGGAGGACAACAGTTCCAGTGAAACAAATATAAAGCCTCTTGTCCCCAATATATTATGAATTCATTAACATTATACATTTGACTAGAGTGCTCTTCTGGTTTTTTGCATTGTCATTCATTGATTTTGCTTTGTTTGCTGCCGGGCACAATCACACACACTAAAATGGCATAAAGTTGAGGCATGGATCCTAGATTGCAGCAGCTCTGATTCATCAGATTTCTCACATTTATCTTTGAATCTCAACGTGGTCGTCTAACTAATATCTTCTATATGCCTGGCAACATTGCTTTATTGTTGCTTTTTGCTTTATTGCCGTTGCTTTTTATTTTTATTTCACGTTACCTTTCCTGTGTTGGTTTTGAGTTGCCCTCGCATAAGTGAAATTTAATCGCACAAAAAATGCTCAAATCTTTGAAAGGATTTGTGACTTGACCACTATCGCTTTGAAGCAATTTAAGGTATTTAATTTTTGAGTTCTGGAATGCTTCCCCCCACCACCACCTTTAAATGTGCTTTCTGCCAAAAGTAATTTAATTATTCAGATTTTCGCACAGGACCGGGGAAAATAGTTATTTGAAGCGATCTCATGATTGTGAAAGTGCTGCACTGAAATCAGTTGTCTCCATTGCTTTTCTGAGAGTGATCGGTGAGCCAGGGGTATTGAGGTTTAAACCAGAGTGCTTAGCCTTGAAAGACTGGCATGTGGGCCTCTGCTGCGACTGCTCTACCTTGGCGGCTGGCTTGGTCTTTGTGCCTCTGCTGTGCATTGCTCTTTCCTTCCTATACACCAGCTGTTAGCTTCTTGTAACCCCTGTGAGATTGAAGTTGTACTGGACCAGTCTGAACTACTTTTGTGCTGAACATTTCTGTTGTGTCTTTTCAACAATTCTGCACCAGTTCAATGCCCCCTCCCCAAGGAGAGGATTAATCTTTGAGGAATTGGTAAACGCTGATAATTTTATTTTATTTTTTAATCAATAAGTGTTTGCTCTTACATTAACCAAATGAGCATCTGACTCGAAGCTGGAATCAGCTGTGCATTTTCATTTGGCTCATAGAACCTCTGTTGATGATAAATAAGAGATCCGGCTGAGATGAAAATCTCCCCACACGGTGGTGGACCATTCCCCATCCACCCCATCCCCTATAGGGTGGAGGGTATTTAACAGCACTCAAGAAATGGGCAAAGTCTAAGAATTTTCAGAGTGCTGGTGCTTACCTTTAAATTTGATGTGGCCAGAGATCTTTCTTTCCTTTGCCTTCTTTCTTACATTGAAAAAAAGAAAGGCTTACCACAGCTTCAAGCAGTTTTATGAAACAGCATTGATGTAGTGGCCAATGGGGACAGCCGTCTTTCCACTTGCCCAAGAATGTCCCTGGGAATTATTCTACGTCATGATGACATAGGGTCATTCTCAGGGGCATTCTGCTGAAAGCAGCCAAGCTGAAACATGGCTTAGTTGGGGGAGAAGAAAGAATGTGGTTTTCGTCACCAACAGTGTCTCTGATAGTTGGTCTTTGGCTGAAGGTATTGTGTGTGTGTGTGTGTGTGTGTGTGTGTTTTCTGATGGTATAGCATACAAAGTTGGCATTCTGACAGCACAGCAACACACCACCACAAAGTATAAAATTGCTCTGATAAAGCAGTGAAACTCGGTTACTGTTTATCCTGCTCTGCTGGGGAGGTGGTAGCAATTCCCAGAGCCTCTTCCGGCCAGACCCTGCACATCTCCCAGCTGGGGCTGCCAGCTGAGCTTTGGAAGATGTTGTCTCAGCAAATGACCAGGGTCATTTGAAGGCTTAAGAAGACTGGTAAGGCCTTCTCTTCTGGTGGCTCCATCCTCATGGGAGAGCTGCCTACAACCCTTCAAGAGCTCATAACTTATTCTGCAGTCGCATGCTCCAGCACAGCCATGGAACAGGGGTAGCTACATGGGAGTCACCCCCAAAATCTAAACATGACAAAAGAGCTGCGTCTTCAGGCTGAGATGGTAGTAGAATGGCGAGGGTGTCCCATCAGAGGGGTGACTACGAGTCATCTGATTCTGCATCCTCCTCAAGAGATGCTGCTGCTGCTGATGATGATGATGATTTTTTTATTTGTACTGTGCCCATCCGGCTGTGTTTCCCCAGCCACTCTGGGTGGCTTACAGCACAAAAAATTTAAAACATTAAACATTAAAAATCCCCCGATACAGGGCTGCCTTCAGATGTCTTCTAAAAGTCAGATAGTTGTTTATTTCCTTGACATGTGATGGGAGGGCGTTCCACAGGGAGGGCGTTCCACAGGGCAGGAACCGAGAAGGCCCTCTGCCTGATTCCCTGTGACCTCACTTCTCGCAGTGAGGAAACCGCCAGAAGGCCCTCAGAGCTGGACCTCAGAGAGATACTAGGACCCGGCTGCAGGGGACTTGACACAACTTTAATTCGATTAATTTACCAGCAACAGTTCCTTTGTGTTTATCTTTGATGTCTCCTTGGAGAGGTATGAAAGAAAGGTGTTTAAAACAGAAACTGTAAAAAAAACCATAATGAAACAAAAACACACACACAATCTCAATTGACTGTATTGAACAGAAGTCAAAATTCTGCTTAGTGCTAATTTTCTGTTTTTATGACAGTAGAATACAACCATTCAATGGTCAGATATGTTAGGGATGGGCAGATGCATGACACTCTTCCAAAACTGAACAACCAACAAGAAGCGGATTGCAAAAAATTGGGAATGGTTTTCATAATTCACTCCGCAGCACTTCGCTGCCTGCACCTCAGGCTGTCTGAAGTTGTATCAGATGCAGGGAAGCGAGTGGTGGATTGCTGTTTTACAAAAACAAAGATGCCACTTCAAGGCAGAGTGTGTATCAAGCAATTGTCCTGATTTTTCACAGAAGTTATGCGTAGGTTATGTGACGTTGCTGTCAAGTAAGTAGTTGCTGTTCTGCACCTTCTGTTGTAGATTTCCATCGCTTTTCTTACCTCAAAAAAGTCTGCCTTTTTAAAATTTAAAAAGTGCATTAGCTATTACCATTTACCAGCGGGTTGTGAAAGTGCACTTTTATGGTTGTGCAGTTCCAGCATCTAAACAAATGTGTGAGACAGCCGTACAACAGTGTGACAGTCTGCACTTGTGGGCACTAGCAGAGAGAGAGAGAGAGAGAGAGAGAGAGAGAGAGAGAGAGAGAGGGAGAGAGAGGATGCAGAGCTGTGCTGATCAGATCTAGTTACTGACTGTTCTCACCTTGATCACCATACGTTTGTGCAACTCTTGGAAATCTGAACATAAACTACTGCTCCATAATTATTTTATAACTGGGCTGCCTGCTTTGAAAATACAGCACTGAGCCTTCTTTGCCATAAATGCAGAGCATGTGTAAACAGTCTTCTTGTCTGGTCTTATCATGTGAAGAACATGATGCCCCCAATAACTAAGTGTCCCCTCGAATTGGCCTCACATCCACCTTCCCTGTCACAGCCTCATGTGGCTGACCTGCAAAAGCTGCATATGTGACCGGAATTGGCAACAGCCTACAGGGTCTGGCCAGCCGCACACACAAGGGCATGGCATTTTACTTATTTACTATTTGAATGCACTGGCTGTAGCTTAACTCTTGTTGTGCCAATTGTAGATGGTTTTGCTTGCGCCAAAGTGGTGGTTGCTGACCGAATGTTGCCGTTTATCTGTAGTGCAGGCATGTCTAGCTGTGGGTCACTGTGAGGGGAGCAGCCATCCCCTTCCCCACCCTGTAAATTGCTTTACCCCTTTTAGGTCTCCATTTCTTGCACCCTCCCCAAAATAGCTTCTTTCTCCCAAAAACTATTCTGAAGTGAAGTGAAGAGTTTCATTTTAAAATAAAGTAAATGCCTTTTAAAGACAATATTATGTTTGGTTGGTTGGTCGTTTGGTTTGGTCAGTAGACAGAACTATTGGCCTCCTTCAGTTGGTCAGGCTTTGTCTAGAGACTTCTAGTTACTGACAACTTTCAGATGGTTTCCCTGCACCAGAGAACAGCAAAATAATATAATTTATCATTTTTGTGCCTAAATATTAAGCCATATTCATAAAGGAAGATATTTTATTAAAATTATTTGGTACCCTGATCTTCAGCCTTTTATAACAATTTATGAGAAACAACAGCAGAAAACAATAAAATACATAAATATTGTTAAGGCAGACAAAGCAGCAGTGTACATCATTTTAAAAAGTATATAGTGTAATAAAAAACACCTTGATATATGAGAAAAACAACAATGAGAAGAAACACTTTAGAAACCAGCAGTAATTTAAAAGTGGGCAACAAATTGGAAGAGTAAAATAAATACTAAAAACAACCGGAAACAACAAAAAGTCTTCAGCAAGTGTCTGAAGGCTAAAAGAGATGGGGAGAAAATTTAACAAAAGTTTATTTCTTGGTGCTGAATGACATCAGCTCAATGCCAGTTGAATCTCCCTGAGAAGAAAACTCCAAAGCTGGGGTTGCCACCATCAAAACAGCCCCTTCTACGGTCGCCACCCACCTTTCGGTCAAAGTTGGGGATACACAGAGAAGGATCTCTGATGATGACGATACTCAGAAGGGTCCCCACAGGAAAGGGCGGTCCTTTGTAGGACTGTAGAGGTTTATATCTTCATATGCAGACACTCATTGGAGCCTACTCCTAGATACTTAGGAAGCTGTTGCTATCATTCCATGTTTTAATCTATGCATTTCACTTTTGTGCTTTCTCACAGTGTTGAGTATTCGAGGGGCTCAGGAGGAGGAACCAACAGACCCCCAGCTAATGCGACTGGACAACATGCTTTTAGCAGAAGGGGTAGCAGGCCCTGAAAAAGGAGGGGGTTCAGCCGCAGCGGCTGCCGCAGCCGCAGCTTCTGGGGGTGCCGGCTCGGACAATTCTGTGGAGCATTCGGACTACAGAGCAAAACTATCTCAAATTCGACAGATCTACCACACCGAGTTGGAGAAATATGAGCAGGTACTAATCTTGTGCGTGGCAGTTTCCCGTACCACAGTAGAAGCCAACATATAATGTTGGACTGCACACAAAAAAATCCATGCTCCTATGGATAAGGTGCTGGATCTGGGTTCGAATTCCACCTTATCCTTGTTCTCAGAGTTTATGCACTCAGCAGAATAAAGCAGCAAAGCCATTTTTAGAACAGTACCACTTCATGATGCAGGTGGAAGAGTTTCATACATGGGTAGGCAAACTAAGGCCCAGGGGGCCGGATCTGGCCCAATCGCCTTCTAAATCCGGCCCGCAGATGGTGCAGGGATCAGCGTGTTTTTACATGAGTAGAATGTGTCCTTTTATTTAAAATGCATCTCTGGGTTATTTGTGGGGCATAGGAATTCGTTCATTTTTTTTTTTTTCCAAAATATAGTCCGGCCCTCCAAAAGGTCTGAGGGACAGTGGTCCGGCCCCCTGCTGAAAAAGTTTGCTGACCCCTGGTTTCATAGATCCAAATTGGGATGCTCTCTATAAACAAAGCTTAATATAGAAAAATAACATTTTTGGGAGGACTGGTTTGTTATTTTTTTTATTTATCAAATTTCTATCCTGCCCTTCCTCTCCAAGGACTTGGCTGAATCCTTTTTCTGGAAATGCTGGTTTTCAACATGCAGGGGGATTTGTTTGTGGAGAGCATTCCTACAGGCTGCCTCCTCAACTAGATCCTAAAATGATGCAGCCCAGGAAAAGCTTTGCGGCTAATCATGATAACACATCATCTCACAGGACTACTCTGATGTTGGATTTGATGGTGAAGGATTCTTAAGACAAGCTGTATATGCAAATAATGTTTAGAGAGTTCACATCCCATTAACATTACTGAGTTCCTTCAATGCCGGAATCTCAACTAAAGCATCCATGACAGATGGACATCCAATCTCTGCTTAAAAACCTCTAAGGATGCTTCATATGAGATTCCGGCAATGCAGAGAATTGGACTAGATGACCCTTAGGTCCTTTCCAACTCTATGATTCTATGATTTCCTTTCAGTCTCCTGCTTCCCAGGCTAAACATACCCAACTCCCTCAACTGGTCTTCATAAGGCTTGGCTTACAGACCCTTGATCATCCTAGTTGCCCTCCTCCTCCTCTGCACACGTTCCAGCTTGTCAACATCCTTCTTAAATTGTGGCGCCCAGAATTGGACACAATATTCCAGGTGTGGTCTGACCAAGGCAGAATAGAGTTCGACTATGACTTCCGTTGATCAGGACACTAGACTTTTGCTGATGCAGCCTAGAATATTTAACATATGACAGAGGCCATATCCACTCAATACATTTAAAGCACATGACTTTCCCCAAAGAATGCTGGGAACTGTTAAGCATGCTGGGAATTGTAGCTCTGTGAGTGGTAAACTACAGTTCCCATGATTCTTTGGGGGAAGCCATGAAAATGCTATGAATGTACTCTAAATGTATGGTATAGATGTGACCTTCAGAGTAATATGCATATTTCTTTCCTACAATGAACCTCTAGGAAATTTTTGTGGAACTTCTTACTCCAACATGTGAACTCCTTGCAGCCTTTTGTGAATTAATCTTAATACATTGTGATGTACAGAACTGTTAAATCCTGAACTGCAGCTGGAAGGGGCAGCATCAGCATGAGTTCTTCCCCGCTCCCTTAGCCTCCAGATCTCAGAAAAGCATGTTATCAAAATACTGTAATATCTGAATAGTACCTGAACATTCCCTTTGCAGTTTTGTCTAGTATTTATAGGTGACAAACTCATAGTTCCTGAAAGATTGATTTAAAGGTTTAAAGTACTAAATAATACATTTCTGTATTTAGAAGTTAGAAAAGTTGTGCAGTGATTCTAGTACAACCTGATCTAGTGGGTTGGAGTGTGTGTGTTTTTTGTTTTTTTGTTTTTTTTTTACAGACAAGGATATTCAATGCACACACCTACTCTCCATACCAATGGGACGCAGGTGGTGCTGTGGGTAAAAGCCTCAGCGCCTAGGGCTTGCCGATCGAAAGGTCGGCGGTTCGAATCCCCGCGGTGGGGTGCGCTCCCGTTGTTCGGTCCCAGCGCCTGCCAACCTAGCAGTTCGAAAGCACCCCCGGGTGCAAGTAGATAAATAGGGACCGCTTACTGGTGGGAAGGTAAACAGCGTTTCCGTGTGCTGCGCTGGCTCGCCAGATGTGGCTTTGTCACGCTGGCCACGTGACCCGGAAGTGTCTCCGGACAGCGCTGGCCCCTGGCCTCTTGACAACCCTAGAGTCTGTCAAGACTGGCCCGTACGGGCAGGGGTACCTTTACCTTTACCTTACTCTCCATACCACAGAAATCCATGTGCGCAAGGGATTTCCATAAATTCTTTTGTGCATAAGACACTGAACAGAGGCAGCATTCCTGAATTTTCTCTTGCAAAGATCACCTTCAAGCTGGTTTCATCTTTTTCCATCTCAGCTGATTTTTTAAAGGATTCCCAAGATGAATTGTAGCATTTACAAGACCTATTCACTGCACCAAAGATATGCCCTAAAGCCACTGTTGTCACTTTATATTTTTAAAACGCTAATGAATTGACTAGACAGGAAAAACTCCCTCCTCTGTTGAGAGTGGGTTTCTTTTAGATTTCCCTCCTTTTTCTGGAAATTACAGGATATTCACTAAAAATGCCCTCTAAGGGTGGAATTCAGTGTTGTGCTATGATGAACATTCCATTTGCACAAGCATTTCATCTTGCCGGCTGGAGCGATCACCACTAGAGCGATCTTCCCCTAGCACTCTCCCAACACACCAGGGCCAGCTCACCCATGATGCAAGGAGAGGTGACTGCCTCAGGCAGCAGCATTCACCAGGGCATCAGATCCAGACGTCACTATTTCTTCCACCCTTGTTCCTGATGTAGAGGGAGATCTTCCCTCACCCCTTCTTCCCTGGCAGGAAGGGGCTGTGCCATTTTGGGTCCACTTCAGCTCCTTTAAAATCTTCCCAGGTTTGGCCTCTGGGCTTGGCAAATTTGGGAAAAGAACTTCATTTGGGAGCAACAGGGACAAGAAAGGCTTGTCATTCCCCTAGCGATAGCGAGGAAGAAATAAATATATGGAAACTAGCTTTCTCTGTAGATCAGCTCCATGGTTTGCCGCTTTCTCATAAGACAGAGTAGTGAGTAAACTTCGGTCCTATTCCAACTATACCCAGGATGGCACCCAGTTTCCTTTCTAACAAAGGGCAGGAATGTAAATAATAGAGATCAGCAGTAATCCTACCTTTGTCTCTCGACAGGACTTACCCAGACAGACACCCTCACCCAGCTGGGGGCTCTTGTTACTCCTACTATGCTGCTCCATAGAGCCCAGGGGTCGGCAAGGTTTTCCTTGCCTGGGCCGGTTCACTCCAGCTGAGATCCCTCTGTGGGCCGGATTGCATGCACAGCTGCGATTTCCGGCGTCTGAGCATGTGCAGACGTGATTTCCGGCACCGCAGAAGCGAGTCCCTGCGCCATGCTGCGCCGGTTTAGTGCAGCGCACAGGGACTTGCCAAGCGGGCGGCTCAGTTCGGGGGCAGCTCGTGGGCCAGTTAAACGACCCCCATGAGACACTTCTGGCCCATGGGCCTTAGGTTGCCTACCCTTGATAGAGCCCTCATATTGTGTGAGCCTGGCTGTGGGGGTGCCCGACCAGCAACTGAATGGAAAACCATCCTCTTCCAGGTGTGGTGAGCTCTCTCCTTCAGTCTCACAGCCCTAGAAAGGCAGGGGGAGAGCAGTTCAGATAGGTTGGCTTGTGCAAGGAGCCAATCTGCCTGGAGCCTTTGTAGGACTTAGGGAATAAGAATCTCTTTACTGCCCATTCATTAGTCTTTGCCTTTAGGCCATATATGTTTGCATCACATGCCTCCTCGTATCGTATCCCCGCCTGGCTAAGGGAAAGGAAGACTCCTTGATACGGCCAGCGAAGAAACTGACATTAAGAATCCTCTGTCAAATTAACATTGTGGTCAGTCATCAAGAACAGGGCCCTCCAGAAACTGGGTGTACGAGCTTCTGGCAGCAAGATGCCTTTGGCACGTCTAATTTCAGTTATTACCTGTTTGCCCTTTCATGTCAGGGATCCTGATGTGCTCTACAACCCTCCTGCTTTGGCTCTAATTATTATCCTTGTTAACACACAGGCGGAAAACTTGCTGAAAGTAAGTGTCATGTTTTGTATTTGCAATGAGTTGATTCGTGTCATCCCCAAACCTGTGATAACTCACCCTCTCTTATCACCGGCTGCCAAAGTTTGGGCTGGCATTAGTAACTGTCAGAGATTCCATTTCTATCAGAGGTGACCAGTGGGATTGTCAAGCAATAAATGCACAAGACTGCTTAGCAGCAAACCCATTTGTGCATGTTTGTCGGAGGCAACTGAGGTGCTAATGGGGGTTGGGGGCTGTCCTCCTCCCAGTTGCTGTCTCCTAAGCCACCACTGTTTGCTGGGTGCCACCCGTCAGCTCCAGCTCTTGCCCTGGAAGGTGCATCCCTGAACCTATTGGGCTGCATCACCCCCAGTGCTCATGGCTACCAGGGTGGCAGAACAATTATTTTCTCTGGCCTGCTTCTATAAGGATCCCTGATCTATGACTCACTTCTAGGCCAGTTCTACACATGAAACAGAATACAGCGATAGGAATCATAGGTGACATTTTTTGAATTCTGGTCCATGTAAAAAGTTTCCTGCAGATAAATTATTATTATTATTATTATTATTATTATTATTATTATTATTTATACCCCGCCCATCTGGCTGAGTTTCCCCAGCCACTCTGGGCGGCTTCCAATCAAGTGTTAAAAACAATACAGCATTAAATATTAAAAACTTCCCTAAACAGGGCTGCCTTCAGATGTCTTTTAAAGATAGGATAGCTGCTTATTTTCTTCACATCTGAAGGGAAGGCGTTCCACAGGGCGGGTGCCACTACCGAGAAGCCCTTCTGTCTGGTTCCCTGTAACCTCACTTCTCGCAATGAGGAAACCACCAGAAGGCCCTCGGTGCTGGATCTCAGTGTTCGGGCTGAACGGTGGGGGTGGAGACGCTCCTTCAGGTATACAGGACCGAGGCCGTTTAGGGCTTTAAAGGTCAGCACCAAAACTTTGAATTGTGCTTGGAAACGTACTGGGAGATAAATAAATAAATACCCTACACACATCACAAAGAAATGCTCTGGCCCAGCCTATCTATTTTCCAGTTTTGACACAAATACGTTCACTGAGCTTACCCTGTAGCCAGAAGATACAAATCACAATTTTTGCTCACAGACAGACGTATTAAAACTTTTATTTACAAATTTGTTTGTTGATTGTGTAAGAATTGCATACTCGTCGAGGGCCCTGATCTGTGTTTCTGCATGAGTTGATGATATGGGAACATGTCCTGATCTGAAGGGGATTTGTAGAGAGATTCAGGGGACAAGTGCCTGTTCCAGTCAGGAGGAATGCCCAAAATAAGTGACTCATGCAGAGACGCAACAGGCATTTTCCCAGGCAGAAGGCAGGTAATCCCACTGTATCTCTGCACTGGGAGTGACTGAGTGATACAATCACACCCAGTCCAGAAGCATAGCACAGTTACCAGAATCCCACCTGGAAGATTGCCTGTTGCATCTCTGCATGAGTCAGTGATTGAGAGGTGGCAAGCCCAGTGACCTGTGAAGAGACACAATAGGAAGTTTTCTCTGTATGTGAACTCATGAGATCCTTTCATTATATAATTAATCCATCTGGGATTATATATTAGCTGTTTTCTCATGACCCTGGCGCATTCTGAGAACCTCATTACTATTGAGAGGGAAGGATGAATCTGCCAATTTCAGTTTCTCACAGTTGTTTTTTTTCTCAGTCTGAAGTTCAGTTCTCCACACCTGTTTTGATTTTTGTTAAGTCTTCATGAAAAATAATCAACATTTTAATGTGATTTTCTCCTGATATGCACCTGCCTGTATGCCATTTTGCCCAGTATGCCATTTTTACAAATCGATTTCCCCTTAAATAATGCATTTTATGTGTTTTTTTCATTAATATGTTGTTGTTGTTATCACCATCATTTCATTTCTATACCACTTTATATTTTTAAGGGAAAAATCTGGAAGCGGTTTACAACCCACATTAAAACATCAAATAAAACCATCCAGAGTTAAACTACTGAAGAAAGTCACATATAAAGTATACATTCCAAGCAACATAATGAGCAGGAAACGAAAATACTATCTTGAACATTTAAAAAGAAAACATTATTAAGGGAAGTCAAATATAAAGCACACATATAAAAGAGCAGAATTATCAAGATAAAAGAACATTGTCATTGGCATGGACCATGGCTGCTGTTGCTGCCAGTCCTTCCAAAGACGGTGGCTGTGGAAGTTGAGGCTCCATGACCCGGGCCCTCTTCTACAGCCTCAACTTTTGTAGCTGGAGTCCGTCAGGGCGCTGCCTTCCCAGTCCAGGTGGGAAAAGGCCCGTAAGGCACCGAGAAGGTCTTCCAGGCTGAGTCACAGCCAAGATGAATCTATCCATAGTACTGCAGAATCGTAGAGTTGGAAGGGACCCCAGTGGTCATCTAGTCCAACCCCCTGCAATATAGGAATCTCAACTAAAGCATCCAAGACAGATGGCTATTCATAGAGTAGGTATTCCTATGGACACTTAACTTCAGTATTTGCGTTTTTTTCACATGTTAACATCAACAACATTAAGAATACTATTTGTATCTCACCCCTCTGACTTCTTGCCCCAGTTTTATATGTACAATTATTATTTTTGCATTTGTGTGTACATATGCATACACACTTTTGTGCTTATTACCTGGCTGGAGAACTGCATTGCAAAATTCAGTGTGGATTTTGAAGGATGGCTGTTTTTCAGGCTGAATATTGTTTCAGAATATACAAATTAGATAGGTAAAGGTAAAGGGACTCCTGACAGTTAAGTCCAGTCGCGAACGACTCTGGGGTTGCGGCGCTCATCTCGCTTTATTGGCCGAGAGAGCCGACAGTTTTTCCGAGTCATGTGGCCAGCATGACTAAGCTGCTTCTGGCAAAACCAGAGCAGCACATGGAAATGCCGTTTACCTTCCTGCCGGAGCGGTACCTATTTATCTATTTGCACTTTGACGTGCTTTCAAACTGCTAGGCTGGCAGGAGCAGGGACTGAGCAACGGGAGCTCACCCCGTCGTGGGGATTTGAACCGCCGACCTTCTGATCAGCAATCTCTAGGCTCAGTGGTTTAGACCACAGCACCACCCACGTCCCCAAATTAGATAGGCTTGCCTTTAAATATGAGCTGATTTTTTTCAATTCAACACCCACCCACTCTGTAGCTTTTGTGCTGTTCATTTCCACCCTCAGTCTTTGGCCTAGATCTCACTGAGGTTTTCAACCTGTTTCTGAGCTTGGGCCACTTTAGACTTCAGACAGGGATCCCACTCCTCTGCACAAAACAATTCCCTTCAAACTAGCATGGTAGGGAGAAGGGTTCTAGCATAACTTGTTCTCCCTGATGCTCAGCTCACAGGAATCTTTCCCACTGTCCCATGGGAGAAAATCCCACTGTGTGTGCCTCTTCCCCCACCTGGTCTTGACATAGGATTGTCACTTCCATAGGGTGTAATCTTCACAGCATTCACCATTGTTCTTCTGGAGGCCTTGCACCAACTCTCCATCAGCAAAATAAAGCCAGTTTCTTTCAAGCACTATCTGACCCTGTGCCAAACAAGTGCGGCCTGTTAATGTTTCCATGATGTACGGTGTCCCATACATATTTCTGCTTCTGATATCTTATGTGTGGATTTCCTCCCCTGTAATGTTGATTCCCTGTGTTATTGAAGAATATTAGCTAGCCAGAGATTTTGTTAGCCTGACTGAAACTGAACTTGTATGAGCTGGAGGTGGAATGCTAGTTTGGAACTGCAGAAAAATGTCTGATCATGTGTTCAAATAGTGTATTTTATGTCTTCTAATGGCAGGTCCATTCCAGAATCACATGGGCAGTACTTCTTATAGCCATATCAACAGAGCAAAGGCTCATCTCATCTCTGAGAGCATCTCATTAAGTAACAAAAACACTTTGCCTTCCCTAGACGATTTCTTTTCCTGTCTGCAAATAGACTCTCTCACACATCTGTGGCTCTGTAGTTGATACTTACACTGAGTTCTGGACATACATTTTGATTGTGCATTTGGGGAAATGATCATTCATGCACAGGAAAAAAGCTGCCTGAGGTATTTGGTTTGGTTTTTTTTAAGGTAGGGGTATACATTTTTAAATAAATGCAAACAAAATAAATCAGACCATTGGTTCAGCTCTGTCACAGATAAGAATAGATGAACCTGTCAAATTGAGTTTTTCATTTGTCCAATCTTAAATTCGGTTCTCCTTATTTCTGCATAAATTTGAGATTATTATTTTTTTAAAAAGCATGAGAATCCATCAGCATTTTAGTTTGCATTTTTCCTAACATGGAAATTTTATATTTAATTTTACCTAATATACACATCGTTGCAAGCAGCTTTTCCTAATACAATGCATTTTCAAGTTATGTTCACTAATATATGCATTTATGCACACTTTCCCCTAATATATATATTTTGTATGCATTGTCTGGCTGGAGAACTGCACAGCCAAATTTGTAGAAGTGCAAATTTTGAAGGCTAGCTGTGTATTGGTAAGTGCAAATTAGGGAGGTTCACAATAAAATGTGAACCAAAGTGAATTTCTCCCCCTAGTCAGAAATTTGCGCATTCTTCTGTCCATGTGTGCATGCACATGCTTATGCTCTTTTGCATTTGCTCATGTCCTATCATAAACTGGTGTTGGATCTTTTATTCCATAAGGGTTTAGATAGAGGTGTCACAGTAATCCGAAAGGTTCAATTTCTGACCTGCGTGAAATGGCTCCATAATCACCATATGCCTGCTTATAAAGAGGCGGATTTAGGGGAGTGTGACCGGTTCTCTTGCATTGGGCACTGAGCCAAGAGAGCGCCTCAGGGGGCATCGCAACAGTGACAAACAGTGGAAGGTGAGAGGCGGGGATGGCGAAGTTTGGCCTTCCACAGGGTACCACTGAAATTTTAAAGCCCAAAGACTGCTACTGGGTTCTATCCAATTACTTTCTACTAAGGGAGAGATTATCAGTACACACAAATTCTTGTGGAAGTAACGGAGGCAAAAAAATGGTGGCTGGATACAGAAACTTCTACAGAAGCTCATTAGAGGTTGAAGAATCTTTATGCACATCCAACTATGCATCCAATTGAAAGCAAAGAAGTAGGAAATGATTGAATTTAGCTGCACACCTAAATAAGGATCTGAGTGCACATCTTATGAAAAGCAAGATGTGTATTTGGATACATATTCCTACCTGCATCTTATTTTCATTGGTGGTTTCCCTAAATGAGACATTGTGTAGAGTTGCTCAGCAGATGTTGAAGACCATGGGTCAGAAAACCAGACAACGTTTGAAGGAATAAAGGGGCAGGATTCCTACATCCCTGCTGCAGCCGCCTCTTGCACAGCATGCAGTGACTCCTCCGGTCCTAAGGGATCTTCTCGCTCTTTCTCTTGTTGTCCCAGGCATGCAACGAGTTCACCACTCACGTGATGAATCTGCTGCGAGAGCAGAGCAGGACCCGGCCCATCTCACCCAAGGAGATAGAGCGGATGGTCAGCATCATCCATCGCAAGTTCAGTTCCATCCAGATGCAACTCAAACAGAGCACATGTGAAGCTGTCATGATCCTGCGCTCCCGATTTCTCGATGCACGGTGAGTTTACCCCAGGCATAACAAGAACCACTCACTGAATCACTTCTGTGTGACTAAGAAGGAAGACTTGTAAATTGGAAGAGAGACTGTTCCTCTTCTCCTTTCTTCATCTTCTTCCAGTATGTTGGGGCCACAAATGACTAACATATGTGGGAGCATTTTTTGGGGGGGATCAGTAACTTTTGTAGACTGTTCTACCTGTTCCTTCAAGGTAGATTTTCAAGGCTGTTCTACCTCCCCCCCCCCCAAAAAAAAATAAACAAACGAAAGCTCCTATTGAACCATTTAAAGGAAATAGTTGCTTAAGCTTGCTGGGGAAGAAGATAGATGAGCTACAGGGTTATTTCTGTACAAACTGAGTTCAAACTAAATGTATAACAAATTCAATTGTCGAAGCTAGAATTGAAAAGCAAAATAAACATAACATGGACTGTACAAGTTCAGACTACAGGGAGGAGATGCCCTCTTTGAATGCTCTTCCATGCAAAAGTTTTCTGCAGGTAGAAAATTAGCACACTGGGGAGAAAAGTTATTGGCCAGGCCTCTCACTATTATGCTGATTTTTCTACTTGTTTGCCCCCCACCCCCTTACAGAGCAGAGCACAAACTAGTTTCCCATAGTTTGCCCATCTTTCAAGTATGTGGCCAGTGCCACGTGAAATTCTTCCAACTTGCTTCACTGCCTGTTTTCCAATAAACTGGAATTATAAAGGCTACTTGGAAGTGGGTCGATGGAAGGTGCTCTGTTTAAAAGGCAGCGAGTGATGTTTGCAGTGTAACCGACAACGTGCTCCAAACTCCCACAAAAGATTCAGGGATCTCCCCTAATATCTAATTTGACACAGAGCTAAACGTTACACACAAATGCAAGTTTCTCACATTATTTTTTTTTATTAAAGAATCTTTGGAGGTGGACATAGGGAGTGACAGCACAGCAGTTGGGGTGATGGCACTTAGCCTATCTCTTGGGTGGGTCAAAATCACCTTCCACGTTTGTGAAGAGCAGTCGATGGAAGGTAATTTTCATCAGAAAACTGTCACATGAGGAAAGGGTTAAATGATTCGCTTCTTTGCCAGTCAGATTTGCATCCTCCCAAGGCTGCTGTTACTTTTATGGAACATCTAGTTTGACCATTTGAGATTCGCATAACAGGATGTGAGGACTGATATGTGGTGACTGTGGGCTCTTCCTTAAATACATTGCTTTTAGGTCATTGAGTACTGAGCATCCGTTTCTTTTTGACCAGGCGGAAAAGAAGAAATTTCAACAAGCAGGCTACAGAAATCCTCAATGAGTATTTCTATTCCCACCTCAGCAACCCATACCCCAGTGAGGAAGCCAAAGAGGAGCTAGCCAAGAAATGTGGCATCACAGTCTCACAGGTAAGAAACCCAGGTGCCTGTTCTATGCCGAGAGCACCCGTCTTGTCTGTCTGGTTATCCATCCATTTATGTAATCTGGGAGAGATGGAAAGAGCCCGCACCAAAAAAAGTGCATAGAAAGGGAGTACCATTGGGAATGAAGAATGAGCAAAGAGGGGGATGAGGGACTGAGGAGCAACAGAATTCTGAGGACATAAGAAAGGAGAAATCTACTAAGCAAGAAATGTAGACGTTGTCTAGGGAAGGGATTGTATTTGGGGGGAAAACGACTCTTAAAACTCATGGCTCAGAGGGTAGAGCATGGGACTCTTAATCTCAGGGTCTTGGGTTTGAGCCCCATCTTGGGCAAAAGATTCCTGCATTACAGGGGATTGTTGTATGATTCTGCTGAATTGTGTACAATGATTGTATACGGCAGTTGGGTATTCAGGGTCGTTTTTAGGCCCTTGAGTATTTTAATCCAAAGAAGAGCACAGTGTTGCTTGCACTAGAATCATGGGCAACTATTCTGGGCAACCTCGCGATGTTTAACTGGAGTTGCTCAATGAGAAAATATGTAGCAGCGGGAAAAGATCATGAAAGACAACTTGTTGGATGTCTGCTCAGATAATACCCTCATCATTTGGGTCAACAATGAGGCTTCTTGGCCAGAGCTGCATTTGAACTAAGAGCTCATCCTAGAATGTGCCCAGGATTCATCTGTAGTGCTGACAGTGGTTTCCAAGGCTGACAAAGCCACGTGGAAAGGATTCACTGAAAGCAGAACATTTGAAAACCACCACATTTAGGAAACTTTTGTGAAGACTATATTGCCATGGATGGACTGGGGGGGGGGAGTTTCCAGGATAATTTCCATCTTGTCAAGCAGTGTACATAGTAATTACTCTCCCATTTGCTACTGAACATAACACCTCCTTAATGTTCTTCTTTGTGCTATTTTATGTGTTCCCACATGGTTTGAGATTTCTTATTAAGGTGACAAAGAAGCCGGGTGCTCCTAGAATAGAAAGCTCAGCTATTGGCCACCAGTTATTGGCTACCCTCAAGGATGGGACTACGAATGGTGGAATTATTGCTCCTCGCAACCTTCCCAAACTCTCAATAAAGCCTTCCTTGATAAGGAAGTTGCTGAAACAGATTGAAGCTGGGCAGATTTGTGACACCAAGAACTGCATGAATTTATTACATAGGTTGAAACATAGAATAATAGAATTGTAGAGTTGGAACGTATCCTGAGGGTCATCTCGTCTGACCCCCTGCAATGCAGGAATCTCAGCTAAAGCATCCATGACAGATGACTATCCAACCTCTGCTTAAAAACCTCCAAGGAAGGAGAGTCCACCACCTCTCATGGGAGTCTATTCCACTGCCAAACACCTCTTACTGTCAGAGAGTTCTTCCTGATGTTTAGTCAGAATCGCCTTTCTTGTAACTTGAATCCATTGATTCAGGTCCTACCTTCTGGAGGTACCCAGTTGATAACATGACCACTCTGGCTGATTAGAAGAATTAAAACCAGCAGACCAGAGTCCCTCGAAAGGTGGTGGACTCCTTCATTTGAGGTTTTTAAGCAGAGTTTGAATAGCCATCTGTTATGGGTGCTTTCGTTAAGATTTCTGCATTGCAGGGGGGTCGGACTAGATGACCCTTAGGGTCCCTTCCAACTCTACCATTCTAGGATTCTTTGATTCTGTAATTTTATGGATGATGTAGAAATTTGATTTTGCCCCCTTATGCTATTGCCTCTCTAGTTTTTATAATGCTGTGGCTTTTGTAAAGGCTTTTGCCATTTAGTCAATAGGCATTCCATGATCCAGGGGGCAGCCTAAAAATAAGATGGTAGCAATGCCTAAGAGCTGTTTCCCAGTATATGCAGTTGGAGATGGCAGCAGCGTTCTGCAGATTGCTTCCAACTGGGAAGTCCGGCCATACCAGTCTTTATTGAATTTCATGTTACTTTTTTGTTGACCATTTTTCCAGTTCACATATTTTTGATTCAAACTTTTTGTCATTGAAAGTGTTAACAATTCCTCCTTCTTGGTTTCACCTGCAGCTTCAAAAGTATTCTCTTCCATCACCCAAATCACTGATGAGATTATTGTGTTCCAGTAGACTCAGAGCAGAGATTATTGTGTTTCAATAGACTCAGCAGAAACTACTCTTGTTTTCTCTTGCCATTTGCATCTTGCAATGTGCATTTTTATCCAGATGTGTTCACCAGATAGAAGTTTTGTGTATTCAACCTTTCTATCTGTCTTTTGTTTCTTTCTCATGTGGGCTAGCAAATGTTTAAGTAACGCCAGCTGTCAGGGTTCTCCTGTACTAGCCCCTTTGAAATGAATGAGACTTGTGGAGGAGAACTTCCTGATAGGTTGTACATCTGCATGTTTTTTATCTGCTAAATATTTTTTTTTAAGTAACGAAAGTTTACATAGGTATGAGTTGCTCTTGACTAATTCAGATAGACTATTACACAACATTCTGTCTCTGACATTTAGATTCATTTATGTTTTAGTAACTTAACCAGATACTAAATTGAATTAATTAGCATTTATGCCTCACTGCTCTTTCAAGTTATTTATTAACTAATTAATGACATTTTGGACACACGAACACACACATGCTCCTATTGTGTTTTTCTGTGAGGATTGTTCACCCCCAAGTTTCGAGATCTTGCATGCAAGCTGATGCTAGATTCCACAACTAGAGGAGCTGCTTCTTTCTTTTGGCATGTTGAGGTAGAAACTGCCACAGCATGCAGAAGCAACTCTGAACTTTTAGTAGAATTGTTGGGTGATCTTGATAACTCTCTTTCATATTTCAAATCTGAATCTCCTGTTACTCTAAATTTGTATTCTCAGATTATGACTTTGCTAATTTCTTGAGCTGACAAATTGCATCACATTGTGAGCTTGTCTGTTGCCACCTGTCCAATATGGTTTGAGGTTTAGAGGTTCTGCATGCTGACATTTTCTATCATTGTTTAGTGGCAGATAAGCTCCCAAATGCAAACTTTCAGCTATTCAGCACCAAGGAACTGATATGTCATCCATACCAATCAAAGGGCAGTAGTTGTCAATTACTATATTTATCAGGTCTACTTCATTTCTCACTTTCCCTGTATTGAGAATGCTTTGGTCAAACCTGAATTGTTGTCCAAGTATACAATACTTCCTCCCATATGACTTCCACTGATGCATAAAATATAGGATTTCCCATTTATTTGTCTGTTTGCTTACTCATAAAACTTCTATAGCATCTTTTGTTCTGGAAACGATATTGTGTTAATATCTACAGGACTATGTGGCAACCAGTTTTACAGTTTTACTTTCACAGTTCTAATAAGACTTTGAAGCCATGCTGTCCATTGGAACCAGTCAGCAGTCCACCAGCTGTACTGTAAATTCCTGGTGAAAGATACTTTTTTTCAACCAGAACTTGCCAGAACTCAGTTCCGGCACCTCTCAGGTGGCCACCGTTGCCATTATAAGAGAACAAGGGAGGTGTTCATGGTGAGTTTCTCCACCTCTTTTCCTAGAAAAATAGCACTGGTCACTGGCCTCACTAAACTTTCACAACTGAAAGCCATATCAATAAGCTCATGTGAGATGGGGCTCATGTGAGATGGATCAGCCAATTCTCAGGTCTGTGTCACTTTTGAATGTGTTCCGTTATAAGCCAGGTGTGTCCCATTTCCACATTACGCTGGGAATTACTTAAAAAAAAAGATCCTCATGAAAACGTGCACTCAAATTTGTATTTAAATACAAACTTGTCTGTTCAAAAACATGTTTTGTCTCCAAAAGAAATTATTTTGATACTTGTTTTGAGCCAATAACTGCATCACACAATTTAGAAAAGTGCAAAATCTAAAGGATAGCTACATCCTCATCTGCACATTGATCCTGGTGGTGTGGATCAGGTCAACTCATATCAGAATTCACAGGAATCATGTTCCTCAAGCATCTCATGCTGCAGCGTCCCAGAAGTTGGTGGAAGATTATGATCTTCCTTATAAATCTCAGGAAAAGCATCCCACTGATGCAGGAATGTCACCTGTTTCATAGAAGTTCATTTCCACAGCAGGAAAGATGTTATCAGGCAGATTTTTGACTCTCCAAATAAACTGTATGCATGAAACATTTTATGCGTTGATTCTATTTAAATCTTTAAACTGATTTGCCACCCGCTTCATTTCAAAAGACCCAGTGTTAGCAATGCCCTTAAATATGTGCCAAAAAAGCTTCGCTATTTCCAACTTTATTCATGAATGGAAGCTTTTATGTATCTTGCTTTCAGACAGAAGAGAATGGTGCTCAACTCAGAAAGCAAACATAGCATTACTGAAATAAGTTCATGTCAGGGTCTTTCAGAAACTGCACTGAGAAGGTTAAGTTTATCCTTCTAGCGTGGGGTGGGTGAAACATTTTTGGCTAGAAGGCCACAACACCCACACATACACACCAATCACGGGGAGCCCAGTGTTGTGTTGTGTTGTGTTGTGTTGTGTTGTGCAGTCAGTGCAATGGAGCCAACCTGCCACTCCTGCTCTTACTTGCTTGTGCAATGCCAAGCTTTAAAAAAAGAGAAGCCGCTATGATGGACAGCGACGGAAGTTCTCATCTGTAAGCCATCAGTTCCAAGTGAGAAGCAAAAGCTGGCCAGCTATAGAAAGAATAAATGAGGCTGTCATCTGACTATATGTGGAATCCACACAGATATTTCAAAATCCAGAGCGTTATGCATTCATGTCTCGCATTTCAGGGAAGCTGTCCGTGCAGACATACAAGGGTCAGACCAAGATGGATTTAGTTCCGCCTTCTGCTTCCAGCAGCAGCAAGTTCACATGGCTCTGGGTGCTCGCAAGCATGGCATGAAGGTTTTTGCCTCTATTATCTTGTATCCAAAGGCAGACAACCTCTGAATAAGGAGGTATCCTTCGTAGCTAGACTGTTCTCCAGGAATTTGTCTGTTCCCTTTTAAAAGCTATCTAAGCCCTGTGCTGAGGGGGTTTCACCTGCTAGCCTGGTCCCAGATTCCACAGATACAGTCTCATTTGCAGGAATACAGACATACAGCGGTACCTCAGGTTACAGACGCTTCAGGTTACTGATGCTTCAGGTTACAGACTCCGCTAACCCAAAGGCAGCGGGAGGCCCCATTAGCTAAAGTGGTACTTAGGTTAAGAACAGTTTCAGGTTAAGAATGGACCTCCAGAACGAATTAAGTTCTTAACCCGAGGTACCACTGTACACAACAACACCAATAGGCTCTGATTAACCTTTTGCAGCATATGGATTGTGCAATAAGATCCTATTCATGTTGCAGGATACACAGGATGGGCAGACAGGATCTCCAGCTCATGGAGGTTTGAGCTGTTCAAACCTCATATCAGAATTCACAGGAATCATGTTCCTCAAGCATCTCATGCTGCAGCATCCCAGAAGCTGGTGGAAGATTATTATTATTGTTCCACCCCAAAATGTTCATTTGTATGTTTAACAAAAGCCTGCCCAGGGCTTTCTTGCATTTCCACGTGTTGCAGTGAATTCTGTCTAGTGGTGAGAAATACATCAATTTTTGCCTCCTTAGAAAGTAAACGGCAACGATCATCTTCTAATCTTTGAGGATCTTCACACTAAAAGATTTGTCCAAGTTAGCATTTCCGTGATTAGTTTGAAGTAATTTCATTCCAAAGTCTTGGCTACATTTTATCTACACAAATTTTAAGCATTGTATATGACAGGATAATAATATCAAATTTATAAAAGAATGAATGGGCTAGGACATTTTTCACATATATTTGTATATCGGGGGAGCTTTTTCTCTACAAATGTTTGTGCCTTTTTATTTTTATTTTCTTCTGTTTTGCTTTGTATCACTTTATTTCTTTATAACTGAAAACTTTTCAATAAAAAAGAGCACTGTATATGACAGCTCCGTTTACAGTTGTTTATGCATTATAGCAACTGCAAGGGACCTGGGCATGGATGGGGATGCAAAGTTTTACAGCAGTTTTGGAGTCTTGGCATACCTTGTTCGTTCTCCTCTGTTTGTAGTAACAATTACATAAGATAACTTCTTGAGGTGTGGGGCCGATCTGTGGAAGAAGTGATCCCTTGGCACAGAAGATGCTCCTGATGGCTCTCTTTGTCTCTTCTATGATTCTGAGATTCCATAAATCACATCAAGAAAATCTGGCTTTCTATTTTAAATGGAAATGTATGGAAGCACAGTTTTAGCATGTGGCCCAAGGCCTAGCCTCTCACACCAGAAAACATAAACAAAAATCCACAGTGTGTACTGTATATAAGCACAAAATCATATAGTTTTATGGGTCTGTCTTGTAAGTTCAGCGAGAGATTTATTCTAAACTATTAATCAGCATACTTATACAGTATTCCCATTCGTTCCTCCCTTTCCCCTGGCTTCCCACCCTGGTCATATATTTGACTTCTTATTAACAGGCCTTTTTTTTCCTCTTTCTCTCTTTTTCAAACTTGCTCTAGGTATCAAACTGGTTTGGAAATAAGCGAATCCGGTACAAGAAGAACATAGGTAAATTTCAAGAGGAAGCCAATATTTATGCTGCCAAAACGGCTGTCACTGCTACAAATGTGTCAGCCCATGGAAGCCAAGCTAACTCACCCTCAACTCCCAATTCAGCTGGTTAGTTTTTTTTTTCTTTTGGGTTGTTATTGTTCTTTTCTTTCCGTGGGGTTTTATTTTCTTTTAGTATCAATGTGTGTTTCTCGTTTGCTTTTTAATTTGGTTTCCTCTTTGGTTCGTTCACTTTTGGGGCAATGTATTCATTTAGGATATTTTGTTCCTGTCTGTTTTTTCTGTTTCTGAAGGCAATGTAGTCATGCTGTGTGATTAAAAGTAATGTGTTGGGAATTTTTGCACGGAGAACGTTTTGCCTGAGTTGCTGGTTCTCCCAGGAGAAAGGTCGTCCGTGCACATTTGAATGTTTCAACAGGGGAGAGACGTTTATCACTGAGTGACCCTGATAAATAACCCAACACATTCAGGGGCCACAATCCACCAGGAATTCTCCTGTACAAGCCACATTGAAATGAATGGGAGCTGCACACGAGCACACAATGTTTCCATGGGACTTTTGCTCAGAGCATCACCAAGTCATGTTATTTGGTGTCTGTATTGTGTGAACGTTTCTCTCTGGATTATTGCTTGCTTATTCCCATTACCTGTGGCTCACCTGTTTTGTGTAATTTTATTTTTCTTTGGTATCAGAATTGCTAGAGGGCTTTTTACTCCATGAAAATTCAAACATGGCTTGTCCCTCTACCTTTCCGGGATGTGATCTTGTGTTTTTTGTATTAGTTATGTAAGGGACAAATTCATTTTAGGTGCCTTGAGTACTATTGCGGAGAAAGGCAGAGTGGAAATTTGGGAAATAAATTAGCCCAATAAATAGTTTATATGATCTTGATATTTGAGATGCATGTGGTAAAAGCTTGGATCAGGCTTGCTGTTTCATGTTTGCATCGTGTTAGACAATTGTTTATGACAAATTGTTTATTGTAAAATGGATTGTAATTTCCTGGGCCTTAGAAAACTTGGGACGATCTTTTTGGGAAAGGTCAGCTTAAGGACCAGTTTGTGAACAAATGTGTACTGTATGGCTTTTTTGTTTTAAAAGAGGGAAATGCCAAATACATTGGGTTGATATACTTTTTCTACGTTATGAAATTATATGGGTACAAATAAGTACGAGGCATTTACGTAAAGCTGCCAACAAGCTGTGCCCAAGACGGTGTAATTTGGATGTCTTCCAAGAGAGCCTAGATATTATTAGAAAACATGCTATGTCTCCCAGTGTGGTATAGTGGTTAAGAGCGGTGGACTCGTAATCTGGTGAACCGGGTTCGCTTCCCCGCTCCTCCTCATGCAGCTGCTGGGTGACCTTGGGCCAGTCACACTTCTCTGAAGTCTCTCAGCCCCACTCACCTCACAGAGTGTTTGTTGTGGGGGAGGAAGGGAAAAGGAGATTGTTAGCCGCTTTGAGACTCCTTCGGGTAGTGATAAAGCGGGATATCAAATCCAAATCCAAAGCTCTGAAATAATAAAGCATTAAAGTAGAGTATCTTTCTTTCAGAGGAGTGTATGCCCAAGGTGAGCCCTTGTTCTGAATCACTTCAGTCTTTATTCTAGTCCACAGTTGAGGTCAGTGTGACCAAGTGGCTAAAGCAATGGGAATTAGAGCTCTGTGATCTGGAACCTCCTACCCAAGTTGCTTTGGCAATGGGAGAAACATCTTAGATAGTAACCCATAGCTGAGCAGCACCGGCAGAGCTGGCATTGTGCTTTGGTCTTCTTTTGGGGGCTGGCCCTCCTCAGAACCCTTAACCAGAATGGACCCCATTGTCTGAGGAGCTGATGGTGCCATTTCTGTGCAGTGGGGAAGAGGCTAGAACTCCTGGTAACACCATTCATCATGCCTGGAGATGGTTCTTTCCTCCATCTCCTCTGATTGAAGCTTGTTTAGTTCCACTGGCTCTGCAGCTGACATGGGCCAGAGGCCTTGTTCCAGCTGACATGGGCCAGAGGTAGGCCCTCCTCACTCAAATGAGGGAGCGATTGACAGCGTGACTTTGTGCTTGCAGCAAGTTGTCCTGGCAGCTGCAGCCCCAGGGCTGAAGCCATTGCTGTTGGTGATCTTGCTCCCATTAAGGCAAAGTGGAGGAGTACCAGAAATCAAATCTCACAAGTAACACTATGCAGGTCACACATCACAAATTACAATCTGTTTCTCACTACTTTTGAAAATTGAGATGGTGTGTTTTGCCTTATTGGTTTATCATTTACTGTCTTGCTCAAGGCCTGTGAGTTACAAGAAGCAGCTTGGTAATGTAGGTGTTATACAAGAGAATTGACCTTTTTATGAGCTCCGCTCCCTGGCCTGTGAACAGCAGCCATAAAAAAAACCCAAAAAAATCTAGACTTGCCCTTTTGCAGTGGCAAGGAGCCAAATCCGTAGTAAACTTCCGCAAGACAACATTTTGTGCTGGTTTCCCCAAGACCTCCTTGTATTAGGAGGAGTGGCTCTTTAAAGCAGTGGCTTGCTGGATAAGAGAAGTGATTTTGCCTGGCCAAATTTCATAATAGCCCAGAATGGCAAGAACATTTAGGGCCGCTTCACATGTTACATTTTATATATATATACCTGACACATTTTAACTGTGCAAGTAAAAACCAAAGTGCAGTATGAATGCAGAAAGCACATGTTTGCCGAGATATGTATCTTGCAGGTTCTCTTGTGAGAGAGCCCAAAGTGGCTTTGTCTCCCTGTTTGAAGTGTACATTTGGAAGCAGAGCTGGAGTTGTCGCTGTGTTGTGCGTAAAATGACACCCCACTGAGTGAAAGGAAGGCAGGGGACAATAAGGGGTGTGCGGAAGTATTTTAGGAAAGATAATAAGAAATGGACATTCTGTTTGGAGGACGAGCCTAACAGTAGAGGCTTGTATTGGGGCCATGCAGACGGCCGTTCACCAACTCGCAGGTTCAGATCAGAAGAATCTTTATTTGCATCAGCCACTAGCCACAGCAATAAAATAAAATTACTGAAGACAGAGGTAAAAACTTAACGATACAAAATACACTTTGGAGGTTTACATCAATAATCAAATAATAGATCTTATTCTAATTGCCCCCGCTAAAAACCTTGCAGTTTTTGCTGTCACCTGATTATTATTGTTATTATTATAACATTGAATTTATATACCACCCCATACCTGGAGGTCCTGATCATCTTGATCTGCTAAAAGAAAGGACACAGTAGCAATGGTTGAGCAGCCCCTGGCATGGACAGTAGAAGGGTAATAACCTCACTCCTCAAATCTTTATAAAGATTGCATGCCAGAAGCACATGAGCCACTGACTCAGTACTGCCCTCTCCAAAAGGACATAACCGTGTTTCCAGTGCAATCTTTTGAAATTGACCCTCAAGTACAGCTGAAGGCAGTAGTATATTCAGTCCTGCAAAAGTGAGAGCACGTCTGTACTTTGGAATTGTTAAATTTTGCAAATAGGGTGTCAAAATGACTAGGTGGAAAATAATCATACCATGGACAAAATTTCCTTATTGTGGCCAAATTACAGTGGTGCCCCGCAAGACGAATGCCTCGCAAGACGGAAAACCCGCTAGACGAAAGGGTTTTCCGTTTTTGAGTTGCTTCGCAGGACGAATTTCCCTATGGGCTTGCTTCGCAAGACGAAAATGTCTTGCGAGTCTAGAGATTTTTTTTTCGCTTTTCCCCCCCTTTATCTAATCTGCTAAGCCTTTAATAGCCTTTAATAGCCTTTTAGCAGCTCATCCGCTAAGCCTTTAAGCCTTTAATAGCCGCTAAACCGCTAATAGTGCTAATCCGTTAAGCCGCTAATAGGGTTGCTTCGCAAGACGAAAAAACCGCTAGACGAAGACTCTCGCGGAACGGATTAATTTCGTCTTGCGAGGCACCACTGTATTGGTTGGTGGTTTCTTAGTTTGCTTCATGCTGAAAAGCGGATGCTAATTATCTTGGAGTTTGACACCCTGTGTGACACCCTCTACTTCAAGGGTACACACCTTTTTCAGCAGGGGGCCGGTCCACTGTCCCTCAGACCTTGTGGGGGGCTGGACTATATTTTTTTTTGGGGGGGGATGAATGAATTCCTATGCCCCACAAATAACCCAGAGATGCATTTTAAATAAAAGGACACATTCTACTCATGTAAAAATACCAGGCAGACCCCACAAATAACCCAGAGATGCATTTTAAATAAAAGGACACATTCTACTCATGTAAAAACACGCTGATTCCCAGACCATCTGCAGACCAGATTTAGAAGGTGATTGGGCCAGATCTGGCCCCTGGGCCTTAGTTTGCCTACCCATGCTCTATCTACTTCCTCGGGAGTCATTGACTGAGCCTCTTAGCTGACTGCTCTCTCCCCTTACTCCTATCCACTTGCCTCCCTGTTGGGTCCATGTAAGTCAACCCTTGCTGATCTGGCCAGCGTCCCTTCCTTTCAACTGCTGTAATGCACCATTTTCTTTTCCCTCTGCACATTGCAGATTCTCCTTTCCTCATTTCCACAAAAAAACACCTCTTTGTCTCTCCAGCTCACCTCAGACTTTCATCCTGCTGCTGTGAATCTCCTCTGATCTTCTCCATCTCCCCTGTGGTGTAAATCAATCACTCTTGGCAAACTGCTGCTTTCTCTTCATGCAGGTGCAGTTAAGACAGCATCTTCCATCTAGGCCTAAAAACAAATAATTGTTAATTTCTCAGTAATTTAAGCAAGAGTTAGCTAGACAGAACTAGGTCTCTCCCTTCAACTTGCTCTAAATTTAACTAGATTTGTATTAATCACATGAAATGGGGGGGTCCTCTTTTCTTCCTATAAACAGTTTTTGGTTGTTGTTTTTAACTTCCACAACATTTCCTTTAAGGAGCTTACAGTTACCACCAATGTGAATTATTGTAAAAGAAGGCACCACACATGCAATGGGGATATAAATGTTTCCATATTGGTTAAAAAATGATCAAAACATTTCCTTTCTATTTGATCCCATTGTTATAAAAGTCCACATTCTAAAACATAAGAATTAAATATTGAACTTCGCTTTCAATAAAATCCAAAGATCAGTGTGATTCAGGAGATCAGAGGCTAAGGAACTTTTGTAAATAAAGATGGAAGTCAGGCCTTCTGACCTGTAAATGCTGGTCCCTTTTCCCAGATAAATCAGGGGTTGGCTTTAGTGACTCACTGGATAAGAGAAAACCATTTTGCACATGTTCAAAATGTTGTTAATTAATGCTTTATTGAGATCTCCCTCAAACAAGCCACTGGTACTCAGGCGGGTATCATGGAAAAGTTCACAAGCCAAGCAACTGAAAGTCAGGAGCACATTGTCACTCAGCAGGGTGGCAGTTGTGACCAGTAGCCATTGATAGGTTTACCTTCCATTTTGGGATATAAAATATTTTATGACATTGCCAACAGAATACTTCTGGAGCAAATGAGGTGCTCTTGCTTCTGGCTCCAGAGAGGGAAGCAGGGAGACTGTTCAGAGACAGCAGCTCACAAGCCAGTCAGGAAACCTTAGTTAGTGTTTGACCATTTCAGCATGGCAAAACATCCTTTTTCTTCATTCCACTTCTCCTACACATTGCCCAAAAATGTAAGTAATGGGAAAAAATAATGTCAAACTCTGCTGAAGGGGAAATGGAATATCGCTGGGAGGAATATATTTCTGCTTTCAAAGCTCAGTTGAATGAACTATCATCCCGAAATTCTGGAGATGCTGTTCACTGAGGGTGGTGTGTGTCTTTGTTTTGATTGTTGTTTTGATGTCATTCCTTTTCCTGCACCATTGTATTATCCCTTGGAGATGCCTGGCCATGGTAACTCTCCTTCCTGAAGATTTTGCATTGATGCCAAGAATGCTGAAGCAACATCATGGATGACACTAAAGGTCATCTCAGCAATTACTGTTCTGACTCTATCTGTACGGTGTAAATTCCATTGGTGTGCACATTTGCCACTTACAGATGTGCATTAATCTTTGGAAGACTTTGGACACAATCCACTGGGACATTCTCATGCACAAACCTCATAGAGATGAATGAGAGCTGTGGAAGAGCCCACCCATTCATTTCCATAGAGCTTTCACAGGAGACCAACCTGATGAATTGTGCCATCTGCATCAATATCAACGTATATTTTGTAGGCATCTATCAATACCATTGTTGCTTTGAATGTAATTTTGTGACTGTTCCCTCTGCCCTGCCGATTCACCATCTGTCAAGTAAATGCCATTTCTACTTTTTTGGAGGGATATTTTAAAAAGATAGTGTGGGGTAAAATACCCACACTTTGCAAGCAAACTAACTTAAAAAGCAACGTGTGCTGTCTGCAGAAAAGGGATGGAGGCTTCCAAGGGCCTCTTTGCAGTGATATCATTGGCTTGCTGCACGACCTTGAGAATCCAGATCATTTATTGAGGCCATCTGTTAAGGAGAGAAAACCATACTTTTACCCAAATCCCATGGCATTCCTGTGAGACTTAAATAATTACAGTAGGCACATGTTGTATGCTCAGAAGGCGGGTGTCACAGAAAGGAAAATATTGGTATAATTATGGCATTTTTTGAATCCCAAAAAGTTGGTACTCTTAGTGCTGCACAGTAATGGAAGTTCTTGAAAAGTAATTGGAACTATTTCCAGTAGATTATCTATTGTCAAAGTGTGATTAGATAGATAGATAGATAGATGATAGATAGATAGATAGATAGATAGATAGATAGATAGATAGATATGCAGATAGATTTATTCCCTGCCCTTTTAGTGACTATGTGCCATGCAGAGCAGCTTACAGCAATTTAGAATCACAATATCATAAAATACAATAAAAACACAGCATTAAGAATTCATTGAAATACAACAGAGGTAAAGATCACAGCCAAAACATGACCTTTACAGCAGATACTTAGCAGGTAAAAGCATTCTGGAATTAAAATGTTTTCCCCAGCCAGTGGGAAACAGCCAGAGAGGGGGTCACCTTCGCTTCATAGGACAAAGTGCTTCATGATATTGGTGCAGTCACTGAGAAGGCCCTATCTCTTGATCTCATCAAACACTTCTCCATCCTAAGTAGAACGCAGAAAAGTCTTCTGATCTTACGGAGTAGGCAGGGTGGTATGTAAGGAGGCAATCCTTCAGTTACAGGGTTTTTCCCAAAGCCTGATGAAGTCAGTTGGGATGTTTCCACCATACGCTAAAGGAGAATTTGAAGAACTTCTTAGCCCTTGCTAATTATTGTGACATTTTAGAATCTCTCCTTCAAGATGCGTTTACATAGGAGCAAAAAAAGACTTCATGGGCAGGGGAGATGTTTGCAGGGGAACTCACCGTTGGACTGTTTCTTGTCTTCTGATGGTTGTACTCTTCAGATAACTACACCCTCCCTCCATTTGTTAAGTGTTTAGCACAGATGTTGGAAACCTCTGGCCCTCCAGATTTTGGTGAACTGCAGTGCCCGTCATCCCTTGCCATTGGCCATGCTTGTTGGCACAGATGGGAGTTTTAGCAACACCTGGAGGACCAAAGGTTTTCCACACCTGGTTTAACCAAAATATTTGCAAAGAGAAAGTATAGTTCAAAGGTTCACAGAGCTTTTATCTGTATTTCACTATTGGGCAGTTGCAAAAAACCAAGCAAACAAACCAACCAACCCTAGACATAGTAGTTATATATCTTCCATGTGGGAAATATTGAACAGCTTAGCATTGCAAAAGTGCAATGGAATTGACCTGGGCCCCTGAAGTCTCTCCCTTCAAGCCTAATGTCATGCTTAAAACTAAACCTTGCACGTTCAGCTTTCTCATTCTTAACATCAGTTGCACGAGAGTTTCAAAATAATCCTTTCCTTCCAGTCTATCTCATGCAGTTAGGTTGCTGTGTCATAAAGTATATTTTTTTGCAGGGGACATAGGGGGGAAACTGAAAGGGAGTTACGTCTGGAATTACACTTTTCAACCCTGTGTGTGGTTGAGATTATTGAGATAACGTGATCTAGCGAGTTCCAGATTTTGCCATGAGACAAAGACAACACGGAGGAGATCAAGAGAGCCTTATCACATTCTTATGGCCCATTTTTCCTACACCCCAAAGTTGGCACATTATGTGCTCCTCTGATGTGTGGGGCATGAGGGACTAGTGGAAATCCGTGGCCTTTGTTTCTATTCTACATTTTGCTATCCTGCCAAATTGGCCAAGATAGATTCATTGCAGGCTGTGACTGGAACCCCTCACGAAACTGGCGGTATCTTAGCATGGCATGCTCCACAAACATTTTCTATTCATCTATATTTATGGGAGTCATCTTCTAAAAGCAAGATAAGACTGCTGTCCAGGCATCACAGCTGAAAATATCAAAGCTTGCTAAGACATCAGTGTGCTGTCCACAGCAACAAAGCAACCTCCCACCCACAAAACAGGAGCTATGTGCCGCACCCTCCATCAGGAAGCACTGAATTCTGAAGGACTCATTTCTGTTGAGAAGTTGGTTGGAGGGCGAGCTTTTTTGAGATGTGATATTTATAGCTCTTACAGTGCATCCTCTATCTCTCTCTCTTTTAATTTTTAATTTTTTATATTTTTATTTTTTGCTTGCTCTGTCCTTCGTGCTACTAACCTGTTTTGTCTCCTGTTTGGGGTTGCTTTGCATGTCATTTCCTTCTTCTTGGCTGACAGGCGTGTGGTTGATCCTCTTCCTTTCTATGATTCAGGTGCCTCACTCTTTCCTTTCCAGGTTCTTCCAGTTCTTTTAACATGTCAAACTCTGGAGATTTATTCATGAGCGTGCAGTCACTCAATGGGGATTCTTACCAAGGGGCCCAGGTTGGAGCCAACGTGCAGTCACAGGTAGGGATCCATCGGATGTACTGCCAGTGAATGCATCAATATCAGAATGAAGAGCCTTTGATCCTATTGGCGTTCCCCATTCCTGTCCCAAGAGAGGAATCGAAACTCTGTAACCAACCTAAACCAGTCAAAACAAAAACCCCAAACCAAACAATTTTATTTATTTATTACCAAAAATTGTCTTTGGGGATGTTGCCCACGCTTTGTGAATGCATTTGGCTCTGGCTTCCTAGTTACAGTAAGAAGAAATTAGTATTTGAACGGAAAGAGTATTACGCAAGATGCAACTTGCTTAGTGGATTTTCTAGGAGAAATGACCAGATATTTGTACCTCGGGCTTATTTTTCAAGATGTCCATATTGTCATATTCTGCTTGGTTTAATGACAAGAGAGTGGTGCTGAACTACAGAAGTTTCCCTTTCCCCCATTTCAGTGTCAAACTTCATTTAGCCATCCTATCCTAGAAGCCAGTTTGACAGGGAAGAGTGCAGGAAATAATCACTGGGGTGTAAGCCACTTCTTCCTGATGCAATGGTTGCAACAGCTTCTTAGGTATTTGCTTACCCCTTCGGGAGTCTCCTTTTACCCTTAGATAATGGTGCCAACCACTCAAACATTTCCATCTCATGTCAAGGTGCATTAAAAGCAAAGCTAGGTTGCATTGCTACCCTGAATGCAGAAAAGAAGGCATGCTAGATGGCAGGCGGCCTCGCGCGGTCAAGAAGGATGAATGGTCTCGAGAGGCAAGGCATGAACCCTCATAACGCTCATTTGTATTAAGTCAACTCTCTTCAGTTGCAAGTGGCACTGAGAAACCTTGGGTTGAATAACTGGTGTGGATAGCAGGGGTGACAGATTTGGACGGAGCAGATTTCTTACCCCCATATAGGAATTGCTAACTCAACCAAGGACCTCCAACCAACTTGCCTCCATGTATATTTTTCTCCCCACCATTTGCTGCACTACTAAGAATCCAGCATGGGCTGCTGCTGCTGCTGCTGCTGCCACTGTTGTTATCAGGGATTATAGTGGGATGTTTGGAGGGAGGGAGGCATCTTCACTTATTGCTGCTTGGAGTGAACACTGGGAAATCTTGATTATAGTCATATCATCCTATTTTAGTCACCCCCAAAATTAGTCTTGCCTTTTAATATCTGTGTTCCTAATTCTCTCTTTGTTGTTGTTGGTCTGTTTAGGTGGATACCCTTCGCCATGTTATCAGCCAGACAGGAGGATACAGTGACGGACTCGCAGCGAGTCAGATGTATAGTCCGCAGGGCATCAGTGTAAGAAAAATAGGCTTCCTTTTTTCTTTTTTCTTTTTTTCCCTTTCTTGTTGGTTCTCTCTTTCCCAATTATTTCAAAGCCATAGGGCTCAGAATGCCACTTAGTAGGACTTGTCTTAGCTTTACGGTCACCTAGTTTATTGCTTCTGTATCGGTCGTGCCAACGGCAGAGTTCTCTCTGCGAAAAAAGTGGCGATGGGGCAGGCCTTGTGCAGGCAGCTGGCGTCTAGGACTGTCAGACGCAATCAATATTCACATGGCACCTGCGGCCACTTGCGTTCTGCTGAGAGAGCTGCTAAACAGGTGACACCTAGTACAGTGGCAGGAGGGGACCCAGACATCTCCAACGAGAAGGCCAAGGGCTGGAGTCCATTGCAGCTGAACGTACCATCTAAAATAGTGGGTGGGCCCTTTCCCATTCTAAAAGCCAAAAATGGATTATTAACAGATTGGTGATAATGACGACGACGACGATGATGCTAATACAGAAATTAGAGTAAGAAAAACCGAGGGGAGGGGTGGAGAGAGGGGGTGGAGAGGAGAGGAACATCTTCTACTTGTTCTGGGTTGCGCTGGCGGCTCCTCACTAGCATGAAAATTCATAGCGACAAGCTGTGTCGTACAGAGTGAAATCGATCAGACAGACACAAGGAGAACCGAGTGTAGATTCGGGACAGCAATCCAACTTCATTTCTCAGATCAATCATCCGCCATCTCAGTGGCGGTGACAGCAAGCTGGGAGAAGAGGGGAGCCTGGAAAAGGAGGCTGCCGTACACTGTGTCGGGGGCTTCTCTTTGCCCCTTTAGAGGTCAGGGGAAGAGTTGCGCTCGAGGATTAACCTGAAAATACTGGGAGGGTGAAGCATGGTCCTGATGTGTTGACTTTCCACCGCATGCGTGCCTCCGACGCGAGGAGCGCCCTTTGAGGGTGGTGGCAAAGGGCAGTACAAGGTTTAGAGCCTTCTCTCCCACCCTCTTTAGATAACCTTCAGGATTTCTACTGTCTGCATTGCTCACAACAGTGCTAGGCAAAGCAAGTCTTTTCTCAGTGGGGAATCGTACAGCGTGCTGCCGTTGGACCTGCTAGGCATTCTCCATGAGCTCATGTCAAGTTGAAATGAAAGGAAGTGCCAAGGATAGGATGTGATGGAAGGGAAAGTCTTAAAACGGCTTGCCAAGGACCCCCCCCCCCTCTCGTCCTTTCTGTTCAAGTACAAAATTTGAGGCGTTAAAAGGCAAGTGCTTAGATACCCAAAGTAAATTGAAGCTCATGCGTTGGCAGGTTGGGTCATATGGGAGTGCATGTTGTTTTTTTCTCGGGGGGGGGTGTGTTAGAGGAATCACGTGCCAGGCAGAGCAACTCCAAGCCAATGTACATTGTGCAGGATGGGGCAGTAGCCAAGTTAGCTGAGAACAGTCACGTGTGTTGTTCACATTTCTTTCTGATTCGTATATAAAGTGAGAGGTGGAGGAACAAATTTAATATAAAAAGCCACACAGTTGAGGGGAACTGTATTCTCTCCCACTTTCGTAAGTGTCCAATTACAATATTAGGGGGAACCTAATGTGACAAATTGTAAGGAGAATGAGGGCTTATTGTTTTTTATTTGACATTAAAATTAAATGCCCCTTCGAGGACATCAAATATGGCTGTGCCTGCCATTTCCAGTTTGACCTAGGGTGGTAGAATTCTGATCTGTATCACTTCAGACACGTGAAAGCTCCCATTTTTAATGCTCTCCTGTATACTTTCAAAGCCCTTCATGGAGTAAATCACAGAGAATAACTTTGCCTGGTATGTTAGTTTACTACAGGCATGGAAGCGTTCAAAAATTTGTATTTTCCTGCATTCTAAAGTGATACAATCCATAATTCTGTTACCTTGTTCTGCCAAATGTATACATGCGCTCTAGAAACCCAAGGGGGTAATATAACAGAAGGGCTTAATCCTTACTACCCTCTGAGCTATATAGTCCAACGACTATATTGCTTCAGCATCTTTTCAATATTTATGTGTCCTTTTTCCAAAGCCGTAAGAAGAAACTTGGATTAGTGGCAGGCTTCTAATCGTTAGGAGGAAGGAGGATGCTCCCTTGAAGCCATTGGTGGGCATGGTGGAGGGGCAGAAATGTTGTAAAGCATGGCGTGTGACTTTGTTGTTGGAATTCTGAGCTGACTTCTTCTGAATTTAGCACAGGAATCCAAGCGCCCATGTTTGCACCGAGCCCTGACGTCACCAGGCAAGGACAGTAAAGCATTCTGAAGTAAATGCAACTGAACATGTGCAGACAATTATGTCTGATTATATAAACCCATTGCAAAAACCGGGCTTGAAAATGCCACATGAAAGAGCCTATCGTTCCACATTAATCTCTGTTAGCCGAATTCATTTCTATTCTGGCTCTTTAATACTGAGGAATAAATGAATCGGAGACTGATCATGATAAGATATGATACTTCTGTACAAATTAACCCTGCCCCCACCCCCCAAGGAGAAGCCCAGCTCACTGCAACTGAATATATATCTGAACACAGTAGTTTTCTAGGCTAAGCCAAATCACCAGGGGATGCTCTGCTGAAGAAAAGAGCTAGGGAAAGGGCATGCGAGAGGAGATGAAAGCCAGCATGGATTCAGGTGCAGAACTGAAGCTAATTTGGTAGTCATTAATAAAGGGAAGCTGCAGAATGGGAATCAGCACTAATACCAGAAGGGACATGGTGCAGTTTCCTTTATCTTCAGGCCAGTTATTTTGGAAGAGGGGAGAAAGGCCTCTCTTGAAAGGAATGGCTTGCAGAAGAGGGAGAACAATGTATTATCATACCATAAAAAGCACTGTGTTTAAACTACCGGAATATGCTTTTGTGTCGAATAAATGTAACCTAACATGAGCAGTGGGTAGCAGGAGGATGAGTTGCCAAGGTAAGCTGTGGAATCTTATTGCTTCTGGGTTTCCAAGAGGACACGGAGAAGGCATCAGTCATAGTAGATGCTCTCCTTGGTAACCTGAGAGCTTCCTTGCAATGATATGGTCCTTTCCTGCCCTGCCCTGCCCTTTTCTATATTTAAGAATAGAAGCTGAAATGGAATTGAATTAGGGGAGGAGTTAGCAGCCAGTAGCTCTGTTAAGCTGTTTGCAGCCTCTGGGAGCTTGTGACCAGGACTTGTAAACAGGGACATTTGCCAAGCAAGGCCTGGAATGCTATTTCACGGTGTCCGTAGGACCAAGAGACATGGATGGCAAGGGAGTAGCTGCAGTGACCTGCAACACCATGTCTGTCTTTCTGCCTAAGAATGTGCAAAACTACACCTTCAGCACGTGCAAGCTGGTTGCCTTGCTGGAACAGAAGGTACAGCAACCTGCAGCCTACCTCTCCCAGCATTGAGCTATCCGGGAAAGTTGAGGATTTTCTCAATGGAGAAGAGTGGACCGTCTTGGAACAGCAACACGGGTGGGGTGCCCCTAAAGAGTAGGAAGATCCCATTGCAGGAGATTAACCCCTAGAAGGAACATGACACACAGAAAGAAGCAGGACTGTCAGGAGCCATGCTGTATCACTGGAGCTGCAAATTTGATTCCAGGCCCACTATATCCCTATCTTCTTCATTCTTGACTTGGAGGCTTCTGGCATCCGCTTGCAAATACAAGTAGTTATATCCCACCACCACCCCTCAACTGCATTTTGCATGTGCATTTTCTCCATCAGATCTTTGTTCTCTTGAAATAACGGTCTGTTCTTCTATATGCTTGCTGTCCCATTCTGTCCTATCCCATATTTAAATGACTTGGCACATTTACACTGGAAATGGCGCACATACTCAAATCAGGGAGATTAGATATGCAAACCCTGTGTGTGCGCGCCCTTCAATGGGCTAACCCAAACCCATGTCTAGATCAATCCTCAGAATTGGTCACAAGTAGCCGCCTCTCAACTGCTTGTTTACATCCCCATCTTTAGTGAGGAAACATGGGTCAAGCTCTAGGTGCCACACAGATACAGTAAGCATGCTGGCTCCCCTTAAGCATTTTGTTAGTGCTCAGAATGAATGATTGCGTCAGGAGTAAGCATGGACCAATGGTACCAAATAGTATGGGAAACAGCCCTACTAGAAAAATGAACTAATAAACTGAAACTGACACGGGGACAAACAGAAGAAGACGCCTTCACCCCGGTATGGCTCCCCTTTATCACATACACAGCCCAACAGGACAATGACAATAATCCACCAACAGCATACAAATCAATATGGCTAACCTGATCCAAAACACCCACCCACCTCACTCACACACGAAAACAAAGATCACCACAGCCAACCACAAGCAAACAATCACACCCTAGGCCAACCCCAACCTCTCTCACCACCAAAGGAACACAAGTGAACAACACAAGCAACGCTGACACCAAACTCTACATACATTAAACATAATAGAAACACCGCCACCCGACCCCACCCCTATCCATCTTCCCTCTCTCCACCCCCCCTTTCTTTTTTCTTTTTTTTCTTCTCCCCCTAATGCCTCAACAAATGAAATGGATTTGTAAAAATGTTACATGGAGGGGGGGAAAAAATACGAGGCACTACACTTCTGTAAAACAAGAAAATCCTTAATAAAATATATTTAAAAAAAAAAAAGAATGAATGATTGCAAAGTCCAGATTTCTTTCCTTTTGAGACAAACAGGAATGTTTGCCTTCATCATCCCTGGATCCCCTTCATTGCCTCCATCATCCCGTGCAGATGAGCCATTTTTAATAAGAGCCAGCTCTCACTGGCTTCCCCCAGAAATCAGTTTAAATACTGCTATGAGGCACCAGCAACCTCTCTTGTACAGAATCAGCTTTTCCCAATTGTCCCCTAGTGCCTAGCCAAAACTGAACCCTTCCTCCCAACAGCACCTTCCTCATCCCTTCATTGAGACCTCTCAGCTCCGCCTGTCAGTCTTGTGCATGCAAAAAGTAGCATTTCTGACCATACTACCCTAATGGTAATGGACGTAATATTCTGCCCAACAAACGAAATTTGGCCTCCAGGAACTTGCAACATTGGTGCTGATGTGTGCTGGTCACTGAACTCTCCTCTGTGCAGCCTATCAGCCTATCTGTGCAACGCATCATGTGCTTCATGTTCCCATGAGGCATGCAAGTCACATGTGTGTGGCTGGGGCAACCCATTCAGATGGGGGTATAAGAAATAAATTGCTGCTGCTGTTGCTGTTTGATGGGCAGGGTATAAGAAACAGATGGTTGTTGTTATACAGCTCAACCCATCTCTCAATGTTTCTAACGATCATGTCACACGCCCCTTCCAGGAAGTCTCAAACATGGACCTCTAGAGGCATATTGATGCAAGAAGACTATTGTTCCTTACCATGAATCATTTACCTCTTCCTCAGTGTGACACCCTCCTATCCTAACCCTCATCCTCTGTGGTTGCAGACAAACTGGATGCTTCTACCATGTCCCTGAAACTAGTATGCAGGAATGAGTGAAATAAATGAAACAGTGTGCTATGTTTTTACATAAGCCTTCCTTCCTTCCTTCCTTCCTTCCTTCCTTCCTTCCTCTTTTTTTTGGGGGGGGGTAAACAATTCTAAAGCCAGATCAAGCTGAGGAAATTGCAGCAGCAGGTAATTTACCTGCTTCCACGTTCATAACATTATCCCCTACTTTAAATAAATAAAGTTTGGAGAAATAAGATCTCTGAATAAATAAGATACATCTGCCAAAAGGACCACTTTGAGTATATTTGGTCAGTGTATGTACTTACAGGGACCACTTTTTGCACTGATCAAAATTTGAAAAGTCCTTCCAGTAGCACCTTAGAGACCAACTAAGTTTGTTATCGGGATGAGTTTTCGTGTGCATGCACACTTCTTCAAATATCTGAAGAAATGTGCATGCACACGAAAGCTCATACCAATAACAAACTTAGTTGGTCTCTAAGGTGCTACTGGAAATATTTTTTTTATTTTGTTTCGACTATGGCAGACCAACACGGCTACCTACCTATATCTGATTATTAGGGTCAAGGCTCCGGAGACTAGAGTCTGAAGCAATGGATTCAAGTGACAATAAAGGAGATTCTGATGAAACATCACGAAGAAGACAATGGAACAGGCTCTATCGGAAGGTGGTGGATTCTGCAGGTTTTTAAGCAGAGATTGGATTGCCACCTGTCAGGGATGATTGAGATCCCTTCATTGTAGGGGGTTGGATTAGATGACCCTCAGGATCCCTTCCAACTCTACAATCCTATGACTCTATGAATCCGGTATTGAGGATATAAGATGCAGAACAAACAGAAAAATAGGTATAAAAAAAATATTACAAGTTACGGAGGAACACCAGTTTCTCCCTTTATTCTCTATTGCAGTGATATTGTAAAGAAAAACAAGTTTCTTGTTGAGGGGACCTTTAAATTTATTTGATTTTTCAAATTAACGTTTTACACTCACATATACAACATAAATCATAAAACTGAGATTCCAAAGAATCTCCTGGACTTCCCTCCTCCCCTTTGTGGGTCCTATTGTTAGTCGTTTACTCCCGCGCCTTTTATAATAATCCAAATCTTTTACATCTCCATTATATCCATAATTCACCATTAAACCACAAGTGTTTCATTAGTTTGGTGAGACATAAATTTCATGCTCTGTGGTTTCTAGAAAAAAAATAAGATTTCACCTCTTGCATTTTAATGCATCACGTTTGTGAAGTACTTCCACATGATTTCTTGTGATTGTCCATGATTGATATTAATTGTGAGGAAATTTTGATATCATAAAATCTAATGAAATCACCTATAAAATATCATGAACCAGATGCATAGTGGGTAGAGCTACAACTATATGACCTGTTTTTGGCCATCCGAGGACCAGGGTGGGTGTGAAGTTGCCCCAACACTTCTCAAGCTGTTCCTGTTTCATAAAAGAGCAGGTGGTTCTGTGCTCCTTAGCCTGGACTCCCTGACTTCCATGTCTCTTCTCCAGTTACAGAGGCAGAGCTAGGAAGTGGGAGAAGCAGAAACGCCTCTCCCGCCAGCCTTCCCTTCCACTCTAGAAATTGGCAGCTCTGTTGCTATTGTTTACCTTTGCAGAGCCAAGCAGCAGGAACCTCTTGGTTGCTCCAAGCAGAGAGCAAGGAGAGGTTTGTGGGGCATTGGTGCCAACTGTAGAGAGCCCTGGGTGCCCAGGCACCCACAAAAATCTCGACACAACCTCCAAGGGCCTGCAAAGCCTCCGACACAACTTCCGCAAGACTCCTCTGCTGCATCAACAGCTGCCTTTTGAGCGCAGGTCTGCCCCGTTCTCCCTTCAGGTCTTTTGGATGAACTTGTGGCTCCCTCCCAGCTATTGTCCACCTGTTGGTTGCTGCCTGTGGCCACTGCTTTTGGCACCATGTTCAGTCACGGGGCCCTCCCAAGTGAAGCGTCCCAGGGCAGTTGCCCTAGTTAAGGGTGGCTCTGAGCAGAAGCCACATGCAACACAACAACAACAACAACAATAATAATTTTATTTATATCCCACCCTCCCCAGCCAAAGCCGGGCTCAGAGCGGCTAACAACAGTAAAAATAACACAGTTTACATAAAATCACAGTCAATTAATTGAAATACATTCTAAAATCAATTCATTCTAAAATCAATTCAGAGTCAAATTAATGGCAACCATTGGGCTAGAGTTCTATGAGGATTACAGAAGGAGGGGGTCAGAATGTGCCTTGGCCAAACAGAGACAGCAATCATATGCATATGTGGGCACAAGCACAATGTGGACACTGTATGGTGCAGGTATGTGTGTGTGTGTGTGTGAGAGAGAGAGCGTTTGCCCGCCACACTGCCAGCTTTGGGCATGCCCTCTTTGACCACACAACTTTTTGTTTTGACTGCGTCTGCCACTGGCTTGCAGCCCCCTAGAAGATTGACCATGTGGGAATGAGGCCCTTAAACTGACAAAACATCCTCCCTCCTTGGACCAGGATAACTAGGGAAGTACAAGGGCAGGAGCCAAGACAAAGCAAATTAGCACCCGGCTGTTGGGATCACAGTCTTTTAGCAGGTTCTTGAGCAGGAACCTGCCTATGCACTTCTAATTTGGGGGCTGCTTTGGTATTGTTACGTTATTTTCAAGTGCTCCAAATCAGGTACTATACTGTAACATGGGAAATTATTGCAGCAGTGTGGTTTGGGCTTTTTCGTCCCATCATAGATCTCCCATCTGCCTTTCAGCATATGCATCCACACACAAGCTGTATTTCACAGCCATTCCCACATTACAAAGTCGCCACACTTGTGGGCCTGCCTTTCCAAAAATGCAACGTAAGAATCAAGCCCTGGATTTTTGGAATTGCTCTTGAGTAGAGGACTCAAGTTCTGGGATCCATATTTCATAATGTGCAGCTGCAGCCATAAGAAATCCTAGAACCTCTCAGTGTTAGTCTAGCTCTCCTTTTAAGGCTTCAGGGCTATTCTGTACAGTGGTACCTCGGGTTAAGAACTTAATTCGTTCCAGAGGTCCGTTCTTAACCTGAAACGGTTCTTAACCTGAGGCGTGCTTTCGCTAATGGGGCCTCCTGCTGCCGCTGTGCCGCTAGCGCGCAATTTCCGTTCTTATCCTGGAGCAACCATTTCCTGGTTAGCGGAGTCTGTAACCCGAGGTACCACTGTATTAGGAAGGAAGCTTTTGGATGGAATCCTGGAGACACTGATACATTTTGCAGAGGATGGGGTCCTTTTCTTGCTTTGGAAATAAATCATATTGTCAAGTATGAGTGAAGTGGGGGGTGTACCGAGTTCCAGAGTATTTTTGGGCTGAGAATGGGAGAGTAAGATTCAAATAGTAAGGATCTCTGTGTTGTATAAAGATTATCTCTTTCTCTATCTCGTTTAATTGGGTGTCTGCAATAAAGCCCCTTCTAAAAATAAGTTGAGTACACAATAGGAGCCCTCCCCACTCCCCCCCCTTACATTTCCCGTTCCCTATAATGACCCGGCAAACACTAAATGTCATTTGAGTGCATTAAGCAGCAAACTCTCCAGTGACATAGCAATTACAGTTCTGAAATAGATTTGGTGTGTCACCGAAGATAAGGGTTTTGAAAGTTTCTGTTGTGATTATAGCTTGTAACTCCCACAAATAACAGGCTTCAAAATAAGAGGCTGCCAACAGGGCCATTGTGGCTTTCCCTCAGTGATGGCACGTAAATTGCTATTAATGTCCTGAGTGTACTTGAATATGCCAGTCTCCGGGCGGCAGAGTTGGCTCAGTGTCTCTCTTTACCCGCCTTGTCACTGTCGGGCTGATAATCTGTGGTAATTGCTGCCTCTTGCAGTGGTCAGGACGTGGAAGTGTATGAGCTGGCTGCATCTTCTGCAGTAAACAATAAGCCTGTCTGTAGCAAAGTAGGAGGATATGCAATGCAACCTCTTTAGGATGTATGAGTAGATTAAAACCTAATGCGAAAAGACTGGATCTCACAGGAATCTTTGCTTGGTTGTGTGTGTGTGTGTGTGTGTGTAAGTAACTTAGAAAGGTGAAGTAAGCCCAGCCATGCATGCAAATAGGTTGACTATGAACTGAGATTTACAATTTCTAACTGCCTAAACTTTAAATTGAAAGTTAAAATGTGTGCTAAATGTAGCTGGCAGCAAACTAGGGCTCTGGATTTTTGCAGACATTCCGGCCACCTAGTTGATTTAATGTGATTTTTAAAAAGATTTTAAACTGGCGTTTATTTCCGGCTTGCATCCAGAGTTAGCTGAAATTGGCTTTTTAGCATCAAATGACTATGGGCTTCCTTTCAGCAAGTGATTCCCAAACCTTTATTGCCACTGACTACTTGAAAATTGCTGAGAGTCTTAGCTGACCACATTTAATGCAAAGGATGTGCTGTCTTCAGTCTTCAATCACAAATCCACAGACCACCTGGATGAAAATCATGGACCACTGGTGGTCAGTAGACTACAGTTGGAAACCATTGCTTTAAGCAGTAAGAACTCAGTTGTATGCTTAACTGCCATGTGGCTGGGAAATGGTCAGTGTCAAACCTTGGAATAACTTCCGGAACCTTAGCATGTTTTTGTCTTGATACTGGTCATTGACTGTAATAAAATGACTACTGCTGCTACAATGGTATGTTATCATGGGACGCGGGTGGCGCTGTGATCTAAACCACTGAGCCTCTTGGGTTTGCCGATCAGAAGGTCGGCGGTTTGAATCCCCGCGACGGTTTGCGCGCCCGTTGTTCTGTCCCAGCTCCTGCCAACCTAGCAGTTTGAAAGCACGCCAGTGCAAGTAGATAAATAGCTACCACTGTGGCAGGAAGTTAAACAGTGTTTCCATGTGCTCTGGCACTTGTTGCGGTGTCCCGTTGGACCAGAAGCGGTTTAGTCATGCTGGCCGCATGACCCAGAAAACTGCAGAGAAATGCTGGCTCCCTCGGCCTGAAAGTGAGATGAGCGCCTCAACCCCATAGTCGCCTTTGACTTGACTTAACCGTCCAGGGGTCCTTTACCTTTTTACCTATGTTATCACCGTGAGCCCTCTTGCACCTTCAGTTGCTCACATAACGTGTTCACATGAGTAGCATTAGACCAGAGGAAAGAACTCACAGAAAATCACAGTTAGCTTCTCACTTGCATGAGCCACCATCTTTTCCAACTATCTTGTGCATTTAATGTGTGAACAGGTCTAAGTCTTGTAAGCTGGGAGATCCATACACAACACTTTTTCTTGCTGTAGTTGGACGTTTGAATGGATGAGGACTTGAGAATAAGAGCAGCTTATATGTGACTTCTCTGCATGCCAACCTTGGTTTGCTACCAGTCCCCTACAATTCAGCTCATTAGGAACATGTGGTTCACATTTTTGTGTTTCTAATATGGTATGCGTTATACTGCACAAAAATTCTGGAAATTCAGTTCCCTTACTTTTTTAACGGGAACTTGAGTCAATGTATTTTATTCTATATTTATACCTCATCTCTTCCTACCTTTAAGCACATAAATGTTCCTCCTGGAAATTTGCATTTAAGGGCAGGCAGGATATTCTAGTTCCAAAAATGTCCGGGGGAGGGGAGGCTGAATTGTCAAATGACAGCAAAGGAGCTAATTCCTGGGGGCCAAGGGGTCTCTCCCCCCAATAAAATATTTGAGGGGGCCGCCCCCCAAAAAAGTTGATGGACATTGCCATGCCAATGGTGTGCGTGCACAGCATCATGTGATCAATTTTGTGGGGCGGGGCTTACCTGCAAGCCCCACCCATATTTTATTCAAGTTGGCACCCCTGACACACCTCCCTGATATGTATCTCCAAAATGAAAGATATATTTGGAATTTGCAACATGCATTTGAAATCTTAAAATTGTATATTTTTAACACAAAAATGGAAAGCATGGATTTCAATATATGAAAGTCCCTCTGTGTATATGTGAGTGAGTGAGAGAGAGAAATGAATGGCTATTTTAGTGAGTTTTTCCAGATGGAAAATGAATTTGTGCCCTAGCTTATGGTGCAGGCTGCTTAACCATTTGAAAATTCTCGTGTTACAGATCTAGCATCCAACAGTGCTTGGTTAGATATGGCTGTCATAATCCTTTGGACCACTTTTTGACACACTGAAATAATATACTTGTACACTACAATGGGGAATGAAGATGAGGCACAGATTTTGAGATCGCAAAGTCCAGAGCTTTATTTCCTTTTTAAACTGGATCAGCAACAAAACAATAACTCTTGTATACCCTGCGCTCAAGGTTACTGCTCCCATCTTGTCATGGCCTACCAACTCATAGCATATAACACCTCTCGCCTCCTCCATGATTACTAATTCTTACAAAGCCCTAAACCACTAGGGCCACATGTACCTTAAGGATCGTTTGATACTTCACACCCCTGAGATTTGGTTGGTCTTTTGTAGTCGCTAGAGAGATGCTGGGCTCTTCCCCATGCCTTCTCTTGGGGATACTCTCACTCTGGATTTCTGGGGGGCAGGGGCTGCATTTCAATAATTTATGAACTAGCATTCATGGAACAGGTATTTAAGATCTGAGTCGAGAAGCACCAGGCTCCTAGCCGCTCCTAGCCCCGATGGGTCAAGCTATGGGGCAGGGCCAAGACATACCATATTTTTCGCTCTATAGGACGCACCCGACCATAGGACGCCCCTTGTTTTAGAGGGGGAGTACAAGGAAAAAAAATTCTCCCCCTCTCTGCTCAGTGCCCCTTCAGCGAAGCGGCAGGAGAAACGGAGCCCCTTCCATTTCTCCTCTTGCTTTGCTGAAGGGGCGCTGCACAGCTCTCCCTCTCTGCTGAAGGCAGGAGAGTTTTGCTCTCCAGGCTTCAGTAAAAGGAACCCGAAGTCTCCGGAGCGCAGCAGGAGCTCCCGCTGCGCTCTGGAGGCTTCAGGCGGCTATCCCTGAAGCCTGGAGAGCGAGAGGGGTCGGTGTGCAATGACCCCTATCGCTCTCCAGGCTTCAGCGAAAGCAACGTGAAGGCTCCGGAGCGCGGAGGGAGCGCTCCTTCTGCGCTTCGGAGGCTTCGCGTTGCTTTCGCTGAAGCCAAGGAGCCTGCATTCGCTCCATAGGACGCACACACATTTCCCCTTAATTTTTGGAGGGGGAAAAGTGCGTCCTATTGAGCAAAAAATACGGTATTTCCTTTTCTTCAATCCATCTCCCATATAGCAGCAGCAGACTTTAAGCTTTCCAGCCAGGGCTCTATCATTGCACACATTAGTGCAAGGGCCCTTCTGAACTGTCCTAGCCACCCATCGGAATCTAAGAGAATGAGGGAGGCTGGGGCGCATTTATTTGACCTGCACCAGAACCAGGGGAGACGTCCAAACCATCTAGGGACACAGCTTGCTGTAGATTTTGGCACCTCCATGGGCAGTCAGCACAGCTGTTGTCAAACCGGCATCTGTTCAGGGCTTCCCTGAGTCACCTGGCGACTTACTGTAACCATGGTGAGTTCCGGCACCTATTTTTCTCGGGGGGGAAGCACTGCTTATTACGTATCTTACGTTATCACGTGCAATATGTGCTACACTCCCTCCAAAAATAAGTGAGCATTACTGAGAACCAACATTTTGTTAATGGGCTTATATTGCTTTGCAGTTCCACTTCTAGCATCTGACAAAGTAGACTAACAACGGAAGCTTATGCTTCATGAAAATGAGTTATTCTTACTTGGATCAACCTTTAAATACCGTATTTTTCGCTCTATTAGACGCACCGGACCATAAGACGCACCTCCTGCAAAAGCCAGGGGTAGCCGCGTGAAGCCTCCGCAGGGCAGCAGGATGAAGGCTCCCCGCTGCCCTGCAGAGGCTTCGCGCCTGCTAAGACAGAAGCTAGAACAGCTAGAAGGAGCGCTGCACAGCTTGTGGGGGCTGGCGGGGGAAGCCTGGGTTTCCCCCGTCAGCCCCAAAGAGCAGCTCAGGAGTGTGCCACACTCGGCAATTTAGCTCCAGGGACCACACATCCGCTCCATAAGATGCACAGACATTTCCCCTTAGTTTTTAAGAGGAAAAAAGTGTGTCTTATGGAGCAAAAAATACGGTAGCTGTCATCCTTTATGCAACTGTCACCCACGACTAATGCGGCTGATCCCAGCGTAGGCATTGTGGACCTTAACAACAGCTGTCATCCCCTTAGGGAGAGGGGAGCTCCTGCTGGGAAAGCTTTTGGGGGCTTGAGCCCCTTGTTGTGAAAGTGACTGACAGCTCTCTCTCTGTTCCTTCTAGGCTAATGGAGGCTGGCAGGATGCTACAACTCCTTCGTCAGTGACCTCCCCCACAGAAGGCCCTGGCAGCGTTCACTCTGATACCTCCAACTGATCTCCCAGCAATCCGGCATCCCTGGCTGCCCCCCACCCTGCACCTGGCAGAAGTGGGGGCCGAGAAGGGAGGGGTTTTCTCTCCTAATGTTGAAGCCATCAGGCTGGATCCAGAGCTGATCGGCAGACACAGCAAGAGTCTCCTTCTCTTCTCTTGGTTGGGATGCTTTTTTTCAGCCAATCTGGACACTACTTTATACTCTCTTCCCTTTCTTTTCTGGGTAGAAGCCACCTCTCCTTTTACTCCTTTTTACATCGCCCATTCTCTCACACCAGAATATTTTTTCAATCTGAAAGAAACAAACAGCCTCTAGAAGTATTTGTGCATTTTCATATTTTCTTTTTTTTTTTCTTTTGAGGAGTCAGCCTTTACCTCCCTCCAGCCTATCTGGCATCCACCTCCTTCTGTTTCTCTGATGTTCTCACTACCTCTTCGCAGGAGCCACCTAAGCCCTTCCCCCTGGCCTTTTGGGCGCCATTCCTCCTCCTCCTCCTCTTCCATGTAAGGACAATTGTCTGTTCTTCTTAAGACCCTGAACCCTTGATGAAATTGCCTTCCAGGATATTCCCCGTTACAGGTTGGATAAATGCAATTCGGGTACTGCAAAGGTATGTCCACAACATGCCACAATGTAAACAAGATGACCAGGAGAATGCGGGCAGATCTACTTCTTACCATCCCGTTGTGCCTTGTATCAAGCCCCAGTCACGTCTCCTGCCGTTGGTCACTGCCGCTGTTTCCCATTCTGCACCCCCACCCCAGAACTGTAAAATTAGGGCTGTGCATGCTTTCGCACCAAGGAAATTCACATTTGGTGCTTGGAATAAAGCAATGCAAATGAAGTCAATTTGCATCATTTATTCCATTTCCAATATTTGTGTTTTAAAGATTTGCAGGGGAAATGCTTAGGCATTTTGTAGGAAAGCTTACAATAATTAGGGGAAAGTAGGGGAAACTGGATAAGGGCAGAGGGATGGGAGCCGTGCACAGCACAGAGGCATTCAGCATTTTACCCTCATATTTCTGAGCCTTATCCAGCTATTGCCTACATCCTTCCTAGTGTTTGTGCACAGCCATGCTGTTTAGAATCTTGCTTTTTAAAAAATGACATCTGAACTTCTCAAGATGAGACATTCTAAGCAAGGTATCCAACTCTGGACTTCCACAGTGAAGCTGCAGAAATCGCAACATACCCACAGCCCTGAATACACTCTTACCTTACCATTTAACTGCTTAGAGGCCATTTTGGCATATAAGCAGTATTCAAATTATATATTTTAAAAAATCTGTTAATAGGGAGATGAAAGTGAGACCCCAGCTCCTGATGTTAAGGTCCTAGGGCACACCTTGTATTTTACCGGTGCACATATAAACAGGGATTGGGTTTGTGTAGCTTCACACCATACGTACAGGTTTGTGAATGGATCCTTGCTAAAATGGTTACGGTTGTCTTGATCTTGAAAAAGAGAATTATAGTTTGACTCGCCATTTTCCTAGTGGAAAAATAAATAATAAGGAAATAGGCAGACTAGTTTGGCCTGCATATTGGACCCACAAAAACCCTTAAAACAGATATCTCTTTGACTAGCGAATTTTGAAAAAAGATATTTGCATGCCAGATTTAAATTATTACCTGTTCTCAGACAAAGCCCTCCTCCCACAGAGCAAAAAGAGGTAGTTGGCCCAGATGGCAGAGAGGGAGACAGACAGACAGACATTTCAATGAGGTTTGCTCACAAGCATTTCCCAGTGGATTTGATGGTACGGAGGCTGTGAAAATATGTCTCAAGTTCTCTTTCACACCTCTGGAGGGATGAGGAGATACAAAACAATCTCAGCTATGGGCCATGGCATGCTAGTGGCAAGTCAAAGAAGTAGGAAGCAACTGAGAGCCTCAAGAATTGCATCCTCTGGCCCAACATCTATTGCCTTATGATGACACTTCTTCTCAAGAGGGTGGGTTGAAGCTGTGGTTTTGATGTTTTCTAGAGCGGCACACTCACAATCACTCCATGAAGATCAAAGCTCCTTAGCACTCCCAAGTCTCTCTGCCCATTGTAATTGGGATGGTTAATGTGCGTGTGAAGTTAGGGGGCTTCCGTCTATGTTGTGATCATCTGAGAAAAGAAGACTGAGGTGGAAAATAGCCAAGATTGATCAATGCAAATTGAAAAAAGCCAAGTCTGAGATGCTCCAAAGAGCTCTGGTCCACCCACCTCAGTGCTTTGTAGCTGCTAAGGAGGGGCGAAGCTGATTTTGCTGGTGCAATCCTGTGCATGCATCCTCAGGTGCAAGTCCCACTGAATTCCATAGGACTTACTCCCATGTAAGTGTGCATAGGATTGCAGGCTGTGTCAGCAGTAGAACCCTACCCTTCCCTTGTGAACATTCTATGAAGCTTCCTTATATTGAGTCAGAACATTATTCCATCGAGTCCTTATTTCCCTGACCCACTGGACGCACCTGAGATTAAAGCCAATTGAGCACTACAATTTGTTCACCCGAGGTGGTTGGTACCTCTTAGGAAGTGCGAATGCCTGTATTCAGTTTCCTGATGTAATTAGCATAGTTTTGATTAACTGCGTTTCTTGTATGCTCTTTACTCCGTATCTCTCCTTGAAATGTTCACGTGGACCATTGTATCATCGGCTGTAATGTGTGAACAAGAGGCATAATTCACTGGAAAGCAAATCTTATTCAAGCCCCATTTAAATGTGTAGGTGGATAGTCTTGTGCAGTAACATTCACTACTTTAACCTCGTACTGGACAAGGATCTGAATTTTATCATTTCACTTGCGTGGCAGTAGAGACAGGGGAGATAAATGGATCTGCATTTATCTGCCTGTAACAACATATCTTCCTCCTTCTGGTCTGTCATGGTATACGGTACTAACTCCTTAATGGTACATACACTGGTAGTGGTTCTCTGCATATCCAGATTTACTATTTTTATTTTTATTATTATATTGATTATTATTAATATTGGTTATTTTGATTACCTGTGAGCTGCCTTTTTCTCATACACTTTTGCTTCATTATTTTCTGCCCAGAAAACCCCGACTTCGATACCAAAAACAAAAAAAATTAAAAACTGCAGAAACTAAAAAAAAACTTAAAAATTTTAAAAAAAATTAAAAAATTCAAATCTTTCAGCTTTATTAACATTTTCCATTGTTTCTTGCAATTTGTGTCTCGTTCTTTGTAGTATTGATGATAATGAACATTTGATAATGAATGTTCTTGTATATTCAGATAAAGGGAAAAAAACCAAAAAAGCAGTCTGAATTTAATAGTGTTTATAATAAAAATAAAATAAAAAGTTACCCTCATAGCACGCATCAAAGGACAGGCCCCCCCATCCTGTCTTTACTGTGGCAAACAAGCTCTTCATACCTGTATAGTTTTTAACACCAAACTACCTACATTCACCCTTCCTTTGTTTCCATTTTTTTATTATTATTATTTCCATGCATTTGTGAATTAGTTCAAGAATGCTAGAAAAGTGTAGAGTTGTGCACATTCATTTCCTGTTACACAATGTTTTTTAAAAAAGTGACAGTAATTCATTTTGTAAAACTTTTAAAAATGGTTGGAATAGTGAGCATAATAGGTACACCTAATACTTTATGTTTACTAACTTTGAAAGCCAGAAGTTATTTTTCTTTTCCATTCTCTGTTTTGCATTATTTGAAGGAGCTTTTATTTTAGGGCCCAATCCTCTGGGAAGTTCTTCAGGGCAAGCCCCACAGACATGAAGTGGAGCTGCACCACAGAATTTCCCGCGCAGCTCCAGTTCATTTCAACAGGGCATGACCCTCGGTTCAGTTTTGTTTTTTGTCAGACTACGGCCTTGAAAAAAACATCTTCCCTGCTTCCTCACTCCTTAAACCTTTTTACTATATTCAAAGTGATGTGAAAAGCTTCATTAGCAAAACGCAAAACAAAAAAAACCCATCTAATTATTTCCCCCTGTATTTGCATGATTTGTTCTTTTAATAAAAATATTATTATTATACATCCGTTCGTTGCTTAAGCTGAAGGTGGAAGTACAAAAATGAGCATGGAATTTGAAACGTGGGACACTAGCAAAGCATTTGAGTACATGCCTGAAATTCACTTAAACCTCAGCCTGTGATTGCTGAAATGATTTGTTTAATATGATTATGAAGCAAGTTTCTTGAGGACTGCTGCATGGAACTCCCTAATGAGGATGAAATTCAGCAGTCCTGGGAAATCTAACCCCCTACCCAACAACTGGCTTTCTTTGACAGCCTTTTTGAAAAGCAAAGGTGGGCCAGTGACTCAATCCACTTCCTGCTGGGTGAAAATGCAAATCCTTTCCTATCCATACCAGTGTTCGAAACTCCCATTGTTCTAGGCGCATTTTGCGACAGGGAATTTCATTAGCGCAAGCAGTTTCTGAGCTCTGGGTGCAGTACTGCACCTAAGATTTCAGATTAAAACTGCAGAGTGGAAGGAAAGGAGGACCTTTTTCTGCCTCCCCACTTCCAGCTACTCTCTGAAGCTGGAGAAGAGACCCTCTCAAGAATATTAGGGGGGTGGGCAGGGGAAGGACTAGACCATGTGAAAAAAGAACATAATATTTTAGCTGCTGTTCATTCATTTCCAGCTTTCTATTCTTGTTTTAAAAAAAGAAAGCGCCTAGACATTCCGTTGTTGTGCCCATAATAACCAAGGTTTAAGGTGCCACTTAGCTCCTAGATTTCATATCTCAGTTTCTAACACAGATCCATACCTTAAGATCCTTCTATTGCCATGTTCCATCATCTTGGCCACCGTGAGCCTCGGTCATCTCAAGTGAGACCTTGAAAACCTGTTTAATCCAGGGACTTAGTTCCGGAATAAACAAGTAATAATAACACAGATTACAATGTGCCTTGCCCTCACCTCTAAGTAACCTCATCTGGGATTAGTGAGCAGCACACTCAATTGAGAACCGGGCTCCCCAGGCTCCCCCTCCTCCTCAAGCTGTCATGTCCCTGTGGCAATCCATGCGGTTGGGAGGAAGTCTGTATCGGAGCAGGTTGCTGAGTGCTCCGGGTTCCAGCTCATAGGGCCAACCAATGCATTTTGGTAGGCTGCCCTCTTCTAGACATCCTCCCAAACCTACAGATAGCATTGGGGTGAGGACTTGATCGTGGAGGGCATGGCAAATGTGTGCAGCCCCCATTCTGCATCACAGAATCATAAAATTGCAGAGTTGGAAGTGACCACTAGATTCGTCTCGTCCAACCCCCAGCAGTGCTGATTTCTTTTAGCTCAACATGGGGCTTGAACCCCCAGCCCTGAGATTAAGAGTCCCGTGCTCTACCGACTGAGCTATCATGTGCCGTTAATTGCATGTAATTGCATACCTCAATAGGGTTTCAAGGTCAGAGGTTTCTGAGATATGTGAGCCCCAGTATCTCCTTTAAGCATCACTTAGCCATATTGCTTATATTAACTCCTTGAGGTCAGGGGTGATAAGCGAGCAGGTATAGAAATTTCATTAATAATACTAATCATAATAGTAATAAGCCACCCAAAGTTCCTCACTTTGATCTACTAGGGTTCACTTGAGCCTTCAAAATCCTGACTCCAGGCCACACCAACTACCCAAGGCTGAAACGCTCATGAAACAAGATAATAGATTTTAAAATACAATCAAGCAGAAATCCAGTTTTCAAATGCTCAAAGAAGCACCGAGGCTCGGCATTTCTCAAGTGTTTAAGATTAAACAGCAGATTTTACATTTAGTTTCATCCTGCCTTTCTTGTAAGTACTGATCTTAATGGCTTGGCTGCAGGTCCTAGTCAGTCTTAATTCACAGCCAAGCTTTCTCCAGCAGCAGAAATAAGTAAATGTGTTCTTCGGTGTGACCCGGCAGTAAAACACTTGCAAGTTTATCTTGTTTAGCTTAATTGTCAGGAACATAGTTTTGGGATCAGAGATGAAGAAATAAACACTTTGCCGAACACACATGACAGCCGCCATTATAATTACAATTCAGCAGATAAGGTTAAAAGCAATGTTTTATTCAGGGGATGCTCAAGGACATGTAGTACCAGCACCGTTTTTTCTAGAAGAAAAGCACTGATTAAAACTAAGTAGAGCTGAGCTGGGAAGGGCGGGGGCCTTTTGTGCCTCTCAAAAAGCGGAGCCCCTCCATCAGTGCTTTTACATAAATATATCACCAGATGTGTCCCATTGCTAAAGACAACCAGGTTGATGCTCCCTGTTATGCCATTTAAATCCCCACAGTACAAAACACAAACAAGAAACAGAAAGTATTGGCCCAAGTGCCTTAGCAGCAAGAGCATACACAAACACACACAAACACCATTCAGAATTAAAACAAAGCAGTGGCCTTTAATTCTGCTGATTGGCATTGCAATGTAGCCAGCTCTTATTTCGACGTAGCACCACGACATCATTACACTATCTTTCTCGTGATTAGTTGAGATCAAAGGCAGGTCTACCTCCCCTTGTGCATAGAATTGTACAGTTTGAAGGGGGCCCAAGTTTCATCTCCCTGCAATGCAGGAATCTCAACTCAAGCATCCATGCCAACCCTCTGCTTAAAAACTAACAAGGAAGGAGAGTCTGCCGCCTTCCGAGGGAGTCTGTTCCACTGTCAAATAGCTCTTCTCACCATAAAGTTCTTCCTGGTGTTTAGTTGGAATCTCCTTTCTTGCAGTTTGAAGCTGTTGGTTTGGGTCCTACCCTCCAGAGCAGGAGAAAACAAGCTTGCTTTATCCTCCATGTGACAGCCCTTGAGATACTTTTAGAAGGCTATCATATCTCCTCCCAGTCTCCTCTTTTCCAGCCTAAACATACCTGACTTCCTCAGCGGTTCCTCAAGAGGCTTGGTTTCCAGACCCTTGATCATCTTGGTGGCCCTCCTCTGCACACGTTCCAGCTTGTCAATATCCTTCTTAAATTGTGGTGCCCAGAACAGGACACAGGACTCCAGATGGGTCTGATCAAGGCAGAATTGAGTCATAATATGATCAGATCCCTGTTCTTCAGTTGATGTAGCCAAGAACAGCATTGGGGGGTTTTTGCTGCTGCATCACACTGTTGACTCATGTGAAGTGCCTGGTCTACTAAGACCCCTAGATCCTTTTTGCATGTCTTAAGTGTGTGATCTTAACATTTGTCCCTGTTGAAATTCATTGTTCATGATCCCATTCTTGTTCTGGAAAACTGAGAGAGGGGATTTCAGCCATTTTCTCATGGGGCAGGAGAAATTCTAGGGATCTTCAGGTGATGGAAGTATTTTCCATTAAAAAATGCAATCTGAAACAATTTGCAGCCAGGGCTGCCATTTTCTCTCACAGTCTCTCATTGGAGTGACGCTACGTCATGACATTGTGGGGAGAAATGGTGCCCTGTTGGAGGTGAATAGTTGCAGAGCTGAGCAAGTATATGTAAGAGAGAACTTTTTTTTCTGCTTTCTTTGTAAGCCCTTGCCCCTCAGAAGTTTGGATTTTCTTCTTAACTTTCTCATCACCCAATTCTTTTTTGGAGCAAACCCTCAGCCTTCATAGGATCACATTGTTAAATGGATCCAAAATCAGTCCAGTTCAGGCACAGTATTTCCCCCATATCTGCCCGTGTGTAGACGCAAGTAATTCATTCTGCTTCTCTGTCATCTCATCTTCCTCCAGCTCACCTTTGATGCCCTTGCCATTCAAAGGTGCAACAGCCTCCTTAGCCAGTCCCTTGCTACTAATTATTTACTTTTTTGGTTGGTCTTAATGTTTTAGCAATGTGCTCCTCAGATTGTTATTTTTAGCATTCCTTTTTGTCTGCTTTCATTACTTTTGCCACAGTTTTTGCTCCTTCTTATTCCCCTCACTTGGAGAAGACTTCCGTTTTCTAAAGAAAGCTGTCTTGTCTCTAATTACTAGAGTTTAATAGCTTGTTTGACTCTGTTCGCTAACCATACATTAACCACACTGACATTATCTTTGCTCTGGTGGTACCTTTCTTAATCTGTGGTATGCAGTATAGCTGAGCTTCTAATACTGTGGTTTTAAACAACTCCCAAGCATTTTGGAGTGATTTGACCCTCTTGGCAGCCAAGTTCCTTCATCCAAATTTTTGCGAAGCTTCCTATGTTGAAGTCAAATGTGACTGTTAGATTTTCTTGGCAATCGCACATTTGTATTGAATTCAGGGCATAGTGTGGGGGCTGTGACCCTGGGCGCAGAATCTGCGAGGGGGGCACAAGTCCCTGGGTGAGTGCAGAGGGTTTTCTTCACCCTCCATGTCCCCCTGCTCCCACCCATCAGCTGACAGGCAAATGCCATGCGCTAGGTGGGGGTGGGGCATGGAGGGTTCATAGCACTCTCTGTACCCCTCCCCCATCCCATGCAACACCACTGGCATGAAGGACCAGTAGCATTTCAGAGAAATCTACCTTGAAGGTCCTGGCTATCAACATCGTCACCACAACCTAAATTTCACTTCCAGGTCCTCATGGGAACATTTCCCCATGTCATTCATGCCAGACTGCATCATGAGCATTCACATTCATCAATCTGTGTTCCTAATGGTTGAATCGCCCACTGACAAGATCCCTTCACCCCACCCAGAGGAATATCCTCACCCTGAGGGGATAACTGCTCATCTCCCAAGGAAATGGTCCCTTCTAAGGGATCATTTCTGTCTTCCTCAGAGTGGTGGCCTTCTTTCCAGAGATGCTCATTCTTCATGACAGCAGGGATGCCATCATCCTGGGAGAGCGACACAGGTATCATGTCCCTGAAGGCCTTGCCACCATCTGCTCTGCCCCTCTCTCTGCTCCTCCAGCTCAGCCATCTTGGCGTCAAGGGAACAAATCTAAAGGCTAGGGTTTGCTTCACCCACAACCTTTGTCCAGCAGGCAGACAGCCGTACATATGACAGACAGTGCAATCCGCTGGCGGGAAAACCACAGCACAGCTTCTGGGTTTCTAACTGCATATCTGTTCATGTTGTTTACCAATGAGTTTAGTCGGGAGTTTGAGATTGGTTGGATCAAAGGGCAGTCTGCCCTAGTCTCCTTGCCCTGCTACCAAACTCGCTTAGCTGCTTAACTCACCTGTTAGCTTGACAGTTTGTCGCTGGGGAAAAGAACGAGGTGAACTTTACAAATCCCAACATTTTTCTCCAGCTCAGATTAAAACAGGCATCCCCAACCTGCGGCCCTCCAGATGTTTTGGCCTACAACTCCCATGATCCCTAGCTAACAGGACCAGTGGTCAGGGATGATGGGAATTACAGTCCAAAACATCTGGAGGGCCGATGGTTGGGGGATGCCTGGATTAAAATTTACACCAATTCTGGCTTCCCCAGCCCTATAACATCCTCTCTCAACTTTCCCTTTAGACTTATGGGCCACTGATGGTGGCTTCAGCACCAAGGAGAGCGAAAGCAGAGCATCTGTCCCCCTCTCCCAATCTAGTCACTTGGTGTTCTTTAAGAGGGCAACCAAGATGATCTAGTGTCTGGAAACATGAGGAGCACTTGGTGGTGCTGGGTATGTTTAGCCTGAAAAAGAGGAGACTGAGAGGAGATACGATAGCCATCTTCAAATATCTTAAGGGCTCTCACATGGAAAGGGAACATGCTTGTTTTCTCCTCTAGAGGGTAGGACTCGAACCGATGGCTTCACCTTACAAGAAAGGAGATTCCAACTAAACATCAGGAAGAACTTTCTGACAGTAAGAGCTGTTCAGTGGTGGAACAGTCTCCCTCAGGAGGTTGTGGACTCTCCTTCCTTGGAGGTTTTTAAGCATGGCCATCTGTCATGGATGCTTTAGCTGAGATTCCTGCATTGCAGGGAGTTGTACTAGATAACCCTTGGCCCCCTTCCAACTCTGATTCTATGATTCTATTCAGTGGGTCACAGAACCAATGGCCCTCCGTAGCCTCTGTGAGAATTGCATTTTCCATGGATCACTGTGCTGTTCATCCTGATGCAACAACACCAAAGTATTGGGGGCGGGGTAGGAAACAGACTTCCTTGCCTACTCTCCCCTCCCACTTGCACTGCCACAGCTCCTGTTGCCCACTGCTGGTAATTCTTCTAAGAGTGGGGAGGATATTTGGGAGACCAAAGGAACTAGCAACGAAGGGTCAGATTGAAGTTTTTCTTTTTCTTTGAAATAACTTCCACGGTATTTGACTTTGTAACTAAAAGCAAGCAGAGCTAGGCATGCACCCACTCTGTTAGGTGAGCAAATAGTGCACCCCTTGTAACTAGCCCTAACGGTGCTGATCCAGCAGATTTGCAGAATCTGGGCCCACATTTAGAAGGCAAATTCATTGAATGTATGGTAGCCTAAGCCTCACTTTTAAGGCAACCCCAAATCACTGTTACTCTACACGTGGGATGACTCTGTATATAGTCTGTCAGGATGAAATCTCAATCTGGCAAGAGTCTATGTCATCTATCTCACATGGCACAGAGAAAGTGGTGCTCAACCCATCTAAACTTTATTTGGTCAATTATGGTATCTCTCTCAAATTAGCACTGAAGCTGCCATTTATTCTTGGGGTGGGATCATGGAGTTATAGAGTCAAATGTGTTTTAGGCAGGATCAGACATTACTTTTTCTTCCAGTAAGGAAGAGCCCATAACTTGTCCTTGATCATACTGTGTTTTAAAGGATTTGCAGAACTAAGCTAATTTTGCAAAGGCAGTTTGAGCTACAATTTAGCACCTCAAAAATTGGCACTGTAAAATTGGCCTCCTTATTTGCCATTTATTGTGAACTTTTCACATCACACTTTGTATCAGTCCCTTATTTTCCCCATGCAACTTTACCTGAAGCTTCTTGAAAATATTATTACCCTTGCTATTATCAAAAATGTATTATAGCATACATTGTTTTTGCTTATCACGAGCCCTTTTGTTGAGTGTAAAGACACCCTGCTTTGTTCTGTTATTGCTTTGTCTTCATTCTTTTGTTTCCAGTAGGTTCCCCCTAGAAACCCTAGGAAGCATTTCCTTTGATTTACATCAAGCTTTTCTGCTCCTTTAAAAACAAAGGCCTCTGTCTTTTTAATTCCCACTGAAACTCTTCTGTTCTATAATAATACTAACAAGGTGTAGGTTTTACAGTCTCCTGATTTGTACTGGTAATGCATATTCCAAATAAATAGTTTCTTTTGTTGCAAAAGTGGTGTATTTCTTGCACACAAAATCATTTTTTCACCGTAAATTCTTAACACAGTTTAATAATTGGATACTAGACAGGGATCGTATGGTTCTCCATTCCACCCAGCGCTGCAGAATTAGGGTCCAAACCAAATTGGGGGCAACCCATCTTGATCCTTGCCCCCAGGAGGATGGCAGCTGTTTCTAGCAATATGGAAGTTGGCTTAGTATGAGCATTAAATTAGAAAAGTAAAACATCTAAGCAAACATTAATTATAAAACACATGATTATCACAGGGTCTAGTTTAATTTTCAGTTACCACCTGGAGAACTCCACTTCTACGTGCAAAGCACAGCCATTTGGTATTTTACAGGAAACCACAATCAATTCTTACAGGAGGACCCAGAAGCCATTTTAAAACAGGCACAATTTAAAATTTGATTACAGTTGTTGAAATGCTCTGAACCTACAGGAAAGGGTGAGCTAAAAATAAAAATAAATAATCTATTTCATCACCCGAGCAAGCCAGTGTTCCAGTTTCTTTTCCAATAGTGACAATTTCTGGGAACCTTTTCAGGAGCTATTTCCATTGAAATGAAAGAACATTGCACAGAGTCCTAAGACTTTCAGAACGCTTTAACATCACCACTCTTGCAGAGCTAAGTCGCAGAACACCCAGGAAATAATGCAGTCGCAGAATTAGGGAGTGGCTAAACTTTGGGTCCTCAGCTTCAAAAGACCGGATGTTTTATGGAGGCTTGCATAGCCAGGATAAATGAATGAACCCAAGAAGAAATATGACAACATGACAACTGTTCCATACTTCTGGACTCACAAACTAACAAAAAAAAAACCCCACCAGCCTTCAGAATTGAGGACAGTGTGGAGTCCAGGTCTCTGGAGAATGGATTGCTACAAAGGCACAAAGGTTTTCAATTCAACTTATGTCTCCCATTACCCTAAGAAGCATTTTTGCAAATAAATAAATCACAACGGTTCCAGAAATATGTGTTTTGAATCTAGGATTCCCAAGCCAGTATTTCTCCCCTGCTTACTTTAATGCCAACTTCTTTTTGTGTCAAAGAAAGTGCCTAGAGCCATTTCATGATAGCCAGGGATTTAAGAGGTGTGGTTCCTCCAAGATCTGGAGATGCAAAATAAGCAATACCTGTTGAATGGCTGTCTTTTAGGCTACAATTAAGGGTACAGAGCCTGAGGGGAAATGGCTCCGCTTTAGCAACCCTGCACCAAGCTCATTATGGCAGCAGATTTGCTCTCCAATTCTTCCCTGTTTGCAAGGCCAGTTTCCATTTGCTTAGGTAAAGGGACCCCTGACCATTAGGTCCAGTCGTGCCCGACTCTGGGGTTGCGGCGCTCATCTCGCTTTATTGGCCGAGGGAGCCGGCGTACAGTTTCCGGGTCATGTGAACCAGAGCAGCGCACGGAAATGCCGTTTACCTTCCCGCTGGAGCGGTATCTATTTATCTACTTGCACTTTGATGTGCTTTCAAACTGCTAGGTGGGCAGGAGCAGGGACCGAGCAACGGCAGCTCACCCTGTGGTGGCGATTCGAACCGCCGACCTTCTGATCGGCAAGTCCATTTGTTTAGCAATGCCTTGTTTCATTCTGCACACAATAAACATGCACCTGGGTAGTATTCCTGTCCCCAGCCCTTCCAGTGTCTCTCTTTCGACACCCCTCCCACTAGCTGTTCCTGATACGCAGCCTGCCCTTCTTTAAGCAGCAAACACAGGGTTAACTCGAGGATAAATTGCTGGAAGTACCAGCAAAGAAATGGTTGGTCTCGCTTTCATTGTCAGACTGAAATGCCTGATTATGGACCCTAAGAGCAAAGTGCCATTGCTGGCAGTGGAAAAGGTCAGGGCTGCTGCAAATACTTTCAGAATGCACAAGAATGTATGCATCTTAAAAGAAAGGCTTTACAATGCAAAAGGGGGAGATGGGGTCTTCTCAATCTCTGATCACTTTGGGTTTCTAAGAAGTAATCATCAGGTGCTAGAAGGTAACATACCGCATTTTTCGCTCCATAAGATGCACCTGACCATAAGACGCACCTAGTTTTTAGAGGAGGAAAACAAGAAAAAAAAATATTCTGAACGAAACAGTGGATGTATGATTTTTGTGGTTCATGCTGTGGCCACAGACATGTGATCTGATGGTGAATTTGGGGTAGCCCAGTGCAAAAATCCTGAGAATACATGTGGATGCGTGCTTTGTAACCACGTTTTTGCGCCATTGCAGCCCCACGTAACAGTGGGTGCATGATTTTTTTGGTGCAGGCTGTAGCCATGGACATGCTATGTGACCTGATGGTGAATTTGGGGTGACCCAATGTAAAAATCCTGAGGATCCATGGGCTTTTACCTCCCCCCTCTCAGGCAGCCTCCACTAGCGTCCCTTATCTCTCTTCCGATCCCACCAATCAGCTGTTTCCTTTCAACACTCCCTTCCCTCTTGTTTGCCTTAGTGTAATGTCTTTTCCTTAGCTGGAGCAGAATTTTTGCCCCTCCTTTTCTTCTAATTTCTCTCCTTATTGCTTTAGTCTTCCTTTCCTTCCCTTTGCAAGTTTTCTGTCTTTACCTCCCCCCTCCCAGGCAGTCTCCTTTATCTCTAGCGTCCCTTATCTCTCTCCCCAATCGGCAAACGATCAGTGGCTTTGTTTCAACACCCACTTCCCTCTTTCAAAAAAAAAAAAAGCACGATCTGCTTTTTTTCCAGTCGCGGACGACTCTGGGGTTGTGGCGCTTATCTTGCTTTATTGGCCAAGGGAGCTGGCGTACAGCTTTCGCTCCATGTGGCCAGCATGACTAAGCTGCTTCTGGCGAACCAGAGCAGTGCACGGAAACGCCTTTTACCTTCCCGCCGGAGCGGTACCTATTTATCTACTTGCACTTTGATGTGCTTTCGAACTGCTAGGGTGGCAGGAGCAGGGACCGAGCAACGGGAGCTCACCCCGTCGTGGGGATTCGAACCACCGACCTTCTGATTGGCAAGTCCTAGGCTCTGTGGTTTAACCCACAGCGCCACCCACGTCCCGAACTGGTCAATCTCCCCTCAATCAGCCTCTGCTCCTCCATATGTCCCACAAACTGCAAACCTTGGTTACGATTCATGGTTTGTCTGCAGTTATAAATTGTGGGTTGCCATCTGATTTATTCTGATTTTAAGCTGTATTTCAGTCGATTGCTGGATTTTATGTTTTAATTAATGCATTATATACTTTGATGTTAGCCGCCCTGAGCCCGGTTTGGCCAGGGAGGGCAGGATATAAATGAAAATGTATTATTATTATAAACCATGATCCAGGGCTTGGACAACACGCCAAACCATGCCTCTGCCATAGCTGCAACAAGGTGACTGGAGGAGGAGCCAAGCAGCCACCATCTCCTTTCCTGGCGTCAACAAACTCACACATTAAGGCTAACTAAGCCATAGACCTGCTGTTAGGTGCAAAACCACCAGGGCTGGTGCAAGACATTTTGGTACCTGAGGCAAACCATAAAATAGTGCTCCCCCTCCCCACCAGAGAAGAAGAGGTGACTGAAGATCTACATCAGGAACAGGGGGTGGGAATAAAGATCTACATCGGGATCTTCTGCCCCTGTGGATCCTGCTGCTCAAGGCAGTCCCCTCTCCTTGCCTCGTGCATGGGCTGGCTCTGCAAACCACTTCATTCTCTTGCCCTGCCCATTTGTATTTTTATTTTTTGTCTTGTCCTTTCCCTGACCACCTCCCATGTTCCAGTGTGCAGGATACCAGGTGTGTTGCTCAGTAGAAGAGAAACAACAGTTTGATGGAAAGATCAGGGACAGACTGGCAGGAAAACACTATGGCTGTCTCATCTCTTGATTCAGTTTCAAAATAGAGCAGGAATATTAAGCTTGCTAGCCTAGAGCTCTAGATTAAAATACTAGTAATTGAGATTTTTCAACTGGAAAGTCTTTTCTTTGGGCAGGATCTCGGTAATTTTATTTACTTAAAAACCTTTATAGACCACTCATAATTCAAGAATATTCAAGAAGTTCACACCAACTAAAATACAAATTAATTAAATGCATCAGTAACTGATTAATTTCAATCTACCTTTCATTTATCCCTTTCAGATCATTATCACTTCCCTTAATGCCGGGATTGAACAAAGAAAGAGTCTTATTCTTGCCATGCTACTTGCTTCCTGTTCTCTTGACATTTTCTTGGCAAACAGTCTTCCACATCTCGTTTGCCCAGGGCAATTTCAGGTTAAAAGTTCAGCTCCTATTCTCCCCTATCTTTCCATCTCACATAGCTTCCTTCCCAGTCAAGATGAAGCAAATGAGGGGATTATCTGGAGAACTTCATGTCAGAAAACCTCCAGCTACGTAAGTTTTCAGGTGGCATCTCAAAAACTTGTAAGAACTCATGTCCAAGGTAAGTCTAAGGTATTTCTAAGAACCAGTTTGGTTTGAAAACTCTTTGTTTTTCATTGCAACCTGAGATAAGTCTAGCCTTCAACTGCCCTATCCTTCGCCCATCCATAAGCCATGTAAATAATCCCTTCTTGTCCCCTCAAAGGTGGTTAGTTTTCCTCAGCAGAAAAGGACAGAGCAAATGTCTCGGCTTCAGAGTGGATGCCACCCATTAATCCAGAGATACTGTGGTGAAATCCTGGCACCTCAGTCTTGGCACGAAAATGAAGCCTGTGTGAACCATGGTAAATGGCCCAGTGCTGTAGGCAAGAACAAATACTTAGCTTTGGCTCCAATTTAAATGGTACAATATTGAAACGAACTCATGACCTTTGGCAAAAGCCATGCAACAAGTCAAGTGGTCGTCATTTTAACTGGATCTTGAATAGCAGCTTTTCAGCATGGCATGTTTTAAGCAACTTGTCCAAACACATGCAAAATCTACTGGGCCTGCAACGAATTGCTTCCAAAGTGAGTACAGAGAAAACAGAAAACAGCTCAGGGCTGTAATACCTCAAGGACCGCCTCTTTCCATATGAACCTACCTGGA